TGTCTCAAAAAAAAAAAAAAAAAAAAAGACCAAACACTTTATAACTATGTTCCTATCAAAATTCCTAGGCAAGGAAATCTAAAGTCTGGCTTACCTGCTTGAAAAATCATGCTAGGGCTTATTTTCTAATTAGGTCTTTTTTACTTTTGCAGAGGTTCACAGATAGTAAGAGTTTGCCTTAAGTCTCAGAAAAGACTAGACTTGGGCTTTTTTAAAATGCTAGAACTGTTGAGACTTTGGGGAGGGGATTACGGCATTTCTGGTTGTATGCAGGAGAGTTGTATTTGGTCCACATTATAAACTTGCATTTGTTTTTTTTGGAGATAAAATGTCATTCAAGATGCATTTTGGAGTAAAGTTGTAGATTGTGACCATTAATTCTGATATGTCAGCTTCATTGGATTAAAAAATATGCAGCAGATTAGTCAAGCATGCCCTGAATGTATCCAGGAAGACCATGAAAGTGTGACCTCGCTATTATATATGGTTCCTCATCCATTCTCTCAGTGCCATTCCCCTGCTCTGCTTCCCGGCCACCATGGACTAAGTAGCTTTCTTCCACTATGTCCTTCCACCATGCTGTTTCTGCCTTGGAGCCAGCAGACTTTGGACTAAACCAACTAAAAACTGCAAGCTAAATAAATCTCTCCCCATTTAAATTTCCATCCCAGTGATGGGAAAGCTGACAATTCACTATCTCAACATGAAAACAACAATAACAACAAAAACAAAACATAAAAGAGTACTAGAGATATAGCTTAGTGCAAAGGCCCTGTGTTCAATCTCCAACATGGCAAAAGGAAAAAACATATCCCTGTGTTGCAGGTAAGAAATTGAGGTCTGGCATGGTGGCTCCTGCCTGTAATCTCAGCACTCTGGAGGCTGAGGCAGGATGAGTGCAATGAGTTCAAGGCCAGTCTGGGCTGCGTAGTGAGTTCAAGGCCAACCTGAACTACATACCAAGACCCTATCTTTAAAAAAAAAAAAAAAAAAGTACAGCACGCTGCCTGGCTCAAAAGCACAGGGTCCCGGGTTCAATCCTCAGTACCCCACCCCACCCCAAAAAATACAGCTGGGCATGGTGGTGCACACCTGTAGTCCCAGAGGAGGCTGAGGCAGGAGGATTGCCATGAGGTTCGAGGCCAGCCTGGGCTACGTAGTGAGTTCATGGCCAGCCTAAATTACAGTGTAAGACCTTGCCTCAAGAAAAAAAAAAATACACATGACAATCACGTAAACAGTGGGACCAACTTTGGTCTAAACATAAAACCTGCACTTTCTGAACACAACCAGGTCAGTAACCCAAGAAGTAGGCACTATTGCTCCCCAGCCTCTGCCCCGCTGCCCCTCCCACCATGTCCTCTGCCTCTCTCTCCCACTACACCCTACAAACACTCCTCTACACGCACAGCCATCCTGAACAACAGAAGTGCTTCAGGACAGCCAGCTCTCAAGCCTCAATTCTCCATGGAGTCACCCATGTTCTCTACCCAGCATACCCTCACCACACCCTCTGTCCAAAGCTTCCCAGAGAAGCACCCCTTCCTCCTTCCAATTGTGCTCCTCTCCCCTGGAATCAGCATTCCAGTCTCTGTACTTCCAAATGGCTCATCTGCTCTCCACTGTCCGTGCTAGGTCATATGGCCCCATCCCTAGGGTCATAACTGTGGAGTTACATAGAAGATATTCAATGTGGGATCATTGCTTAAATGAAGAATCCCTTTCCTTCCTCCCCTGACCATGGGCCCGTGGTTCCCAGCCCTGCACACTGGCTAAGGCAGGTGGTCTCTGGCTGTCCTGCTGACCTGCTATGTTCATCCCATTTCCTTCCCTGGGGCCTCCTCCCTTATCAGAAACCAGAGCTGAACAGGGATGATTTCCAGAAGCAGAGGAAATGCCCTGATATCTCTGTCACCTTCGTGCTCAGAGGGACAGCAAGAGTTAACTAGTCATTCAGCCTGGAGATCTGGCACTGGAGGAGGTCACCCGCCTGCCCACTTGGAGTCAATGGCAGCCTCTGACATCAGCAGCAGCCATATGCCTCAGTGCTCCGGCTGCCTGCACCACCTCCCCCTCCTAGGGGCCCTCACTCCCCACAGGATGCCAGCAGCACAGCCTTGAGCATTATCTGCGAGGCCTGTCCCATAATAACCACTGCCCTTCCCAGCGCCTCCCCTGGAAAGACACATGTGCACAAGGCTGCACGTGTGCTGGGAACCTGCTGCACAAGACCAAACGCAGGCACTTGTCTTTCTGGAGTCTTCTAGGGCTGGGACAGGGCTTATGGCCAGGTTCCTAAATCAAAAGACAAGCTGGTGCCGTTTCCCTAATTGGTCGCTCAATGGAGAAGGAGGGAGTCCAGTCTGTGTCCCCCTGCAGCTGAGTGCTGAGTTGAAGCTGGGTTTGAGAGCTGAATTGGACATGGCATTCACCTAACACGTGCAAATCAGGATTTAGGGGTAGCACCTGCTGTGGTGCTGGGAGGAAGAGTACCTCTCAAAGGCACAAGCCACTCTGCCAGGTTGGGGTGGTCACAGGAAGCTTTGCAGAGGAGGCAGCTGGAGGGAGCCTTGAGGACTGGCCAGTGCATCCAGCAGCTGCTGCTCACAGAACCCCTACTGCTTTACCAGGGGTGAAATGGGGCTGTGGGACTCACCTGGCCTGTAGGGCTCCAACACAGCCTGGTTCTGCCAGACCCTGCCCTTTCATGCCATCTCCAGCTAGGGAGACAGCAAGAGTGCATTCACTGTGGTCCTGGCCTCCCCCACCTCCCAGCAGCAGTGAAGGACACAGGCTGCTCTCGCACAGGAGGCAAGGCCTGGGCCAGGGGCAGAGCTAGAGTGAGTCTTTCCACTCTAAGAATTCTTGACAGGTGAATCTGGCTTTACATCAGCCTCAAGGCCACCAGAGCATATTGGCAATGAAAAGGATTAACACTCTTTTTAAAAAAATTTTTTTTTTCTTTTGGTACCGGAGATCAAAGGATTAACACTCTTAACAAAGGAACTCTAGATAAAGGCATTTGATCTCCATAGGCAATCTAAAACAGCAACAAACCTGATGTGAAAAGTCCAGAGTCCAGATTCACCTTCTCTAAAAGATATGTATAGACCTGTGTATCTCCTTTTCTAAAGCTAATGGCCGGAAGTATTGGTGTTGTCAAAGTTACAGCTGTAAACATATAACTTTGAACTCAGTGCATGTGCTTCTGGGCAATCTGTAAGGTGCTAAATGATCCAGGAAAAGACATTCTTTAGACAATCACATGTATTGAGTAGACCCTTCTTCCATATCCTCAAACACATAAAATCTTTCACCCTGTGTGATTCCCTCTTGAAACTTGCCTGCAGTCCTCCTTGACAGCGTACAGCGATCTGAATAAAATCTTGTCTTCTCTACGTGCCTGTCTTTTTCTGCCCATCTCCCAGCCCTCTGTATGCTGTCTCTCATGGCATAGTTTGTAGGTGTGGAGGGGATCCGTCCCTGTGCTTGGGTGATGGTGCCTGGGACTCACAGAGGAATTCAAGGCTTTGTGAGTACTTGTTGAGTACCGCAGGGTCCCCACACCGTGAAGACTGGGGTGAACACCCCAGCACTCTGTCATTTCCACATGTCAAGCCCTGTAGCACAGCTTGCCCAGCATCTGGTACCCCAGAAAGCTTGAAGTAGGCTCCTTTGAAATCATCCTTTACTCCTCAGACGAAGGACCCAGTCATTGTCTTGACTGACTCCATTTGGCTCCTCTGGCTTGTTCTTTCTCAAAGTCCTTCTCAGCTTATCTCAAATTCCAGAAACAGCAAGCCCTGCAGGCTTACACACCTGAGGATGCCTCCACCCTAAACCAAATGCAACCTTCTCATAACTGAAGCCAAATTGCTCCTCCAGCAGCAAGGATTTCTGCCTACCAGGACAGCACAGAACCAGATGTGAGACAATGATCAACCAGGCCTGAGGTGATGATCAACTAGACTATAGCTTGATCACCACTGCTAGACTATGGCCCCACTTCTGTCCTTCCATTGTTGTAATCCTAAAGCCATTGTCAGTCCCCCAAAGACAGGGCCGAGGATGCTGGTCCCTGTTCCTTCCCAGTGTGGCCATACGGAAGAAATTCCTTTCTTGTTCCACAACCACTCATCTCTGATTGGACTCTTAAAGAAGCATGGGGAAGAACCTCATCTGTCAGGACCCCTAAGACAGCCTCTGGCCTAGGACTCCAGAAATAGGTGCAGAGTGTGGCCCCAGCCAAGGTGACTGCTTTGGAAGCTTAGGGGCTGAACTCTGTCATGCCCCAGGGTTATCCTTGCTCCAGCACAAACCCCTGGAGAGAGAAGGCACTCAGAGTGGGGCTTTGATAAAGGTGTTTTCTAACACTGGATGAGCAAACAAATGAAGAGTTGAGCATACAAGGTGTCCACAGGCCCACACGAAGAACCATGTGCAGATGGACTGAAGGCCAGAGGATTTGTGTAGTTGTCCCACCCCTGTTGCTGATCAGTTGTCTGACCATGAACATGTCATTTCTACCTCTGGACGTCAAGCTTCTCATCTACTGAGGTCAGGGCCGACAGAACAGCCCCCAGCAGCCTCATCTCCCTCTGCACCCTCCCCACTCACGTTCCTGGACCAGCACTCCCCCAAGTGCAATGGACAGGTCACAGGATGCCTGCACCACACCCATCTATGCGTTCTCTCCTGAATGCAGGCTTCAAGCATCAATTCTAGGCCTGTGAGTTGAGCTTGAGGACAAGGCTTGAAATCTATACTTTCAACTTCTGAGAGGCATAATATGTCCTCTTCCAAGTGGCTCCATCTTGGCTGCCACTGTTTTTCCTCTTCATCCGATGAATCAGCACCAACCTCCCCACTCCCTTCTGCAAACCCCACTCCCCCACCCCCAGTGGCCAGAGAAGCAGCATGAGGCAATCCTCTATCCTTGACCCTTTCCTCTGCACAGTGAATGATGGCTTCTTTATCTCCCAGTGATGATGCAAAGCCTTCAGCCAGGGGCATTTAAGGAGCAGAGCACATGGTGCAGGCCACAGCTTCAGGTCACAGGTGGACCTTGAGAGGTTCAAGAAACCACCCCGGGAGGCCAGCAGCAGCAGCAGCAGCAGCGCTACCACATCTGCCAGGGCACAATGCTCCTTGCAACGTTCAAACTCTGTGCTGGGAGCTCCTACAGACATGTGCGAAACATGAAAGGTGAGTCTCGGGGCAGGAGGCAGTCAGGTCCTGACCATGAGTTCCCAGGAAGCATGGGGCAGTGGGCAAAGCCCTGGCCGGGGCTCCCAGGCTCTGATCCCAGCTGTGCCTTCCTGTGGGGTAAGTCTCTTTCCCTGAGGACCTCAGTTTCCCCATTGGGAGAATTGGGGTGGATACAAGATGCCCATGTCTCTCCCAAACTGTCCTTTCTGGCCTCCTTTCCAGGGCTCCAATTGTTCTTAAACTATTCCAGACTGCCTCCTTCAGGGCTAGACAAGACTCAATCCAACGGTGCCCGGAAAGTCCAGCCCAGTGGTAGAGGGAGAAGTCAGTCTTGACTCCAGCAACCCTGAGACCCAGGCAGGAAAAGGGGAGCAAGGAGCCAGGGAGCGGGACCAGGAAGAGCAAGGTGAAGAGCAAGTGGGTGGGGCAGAGGTCACAGTGCACAGCCAGGCTGAGGTAGAAGGCAGTTTCTGTGGGCCACTTTTCAAGAGCTCACTGGGATGAAAGGCCATTTGAGTTAATCCCTCTTTGACACTGAAGGGGGCAAAAGCCAAGCTGGAGGAGTCCTCTTCCAGTAACACTGGCTGAATGAGCTTGGAAGCCTCGCTTAGATCTGCAGCCAGCAATGGGGCTGTCCTGGCTACTTCACCCACAGGAACTACCTAGCTCAGTCTAATGGCACCCTGGGCATCTGCTCAGGCACAGGACCTTCCCCACTGACAAGTTCCCTGGTCGCAGGGGACAGATTTCTTGTCTTCTTCAGTAGGATTTTACTGGTTGAACAGAATTTCTACAGCAGGCCCTGGTTGGCCTTTCTAGCAGGGCCAGATCTGGCCACCCCAGATGGAAGCAGATTTCTGGGCTCCAGAAGTGGCCTGTGTAGGGTGATGTGTACTGAACTGGCTGTTGGGACACTGCCCTCCCAGGAATCTGTGTTCCTAGGCAGGAACAGTCCCTCTCTAAGCCATTTTCTAGCTCCTTGGAAACAGTCTTCCTTCCTCCCTGCAGGGCTGAGGCACCAGGCTGTGCTGGCCATCAGCCAGGAGCTGACCCGGAGAGCGCTGAGGGAGCCGGCCCCCAGTGTGTGGGCTAACCAGGTCCGGCGTCGGAGCTCACTGCTTGGTACGTCCTGTGGTTTCTGGGCTTCTGCCAGGGGAGGCTCTCAGGATACCAGTAGGTGCATGAGGCTCTGACAGCCTCGACCCTTCCCCACCTGTTCTGACACTGTGTTCTCACCCTCGAGCTCCTCAAGGCCAAGTCCCATGTCTACCTGGACCCACAGGCAGGATCCTGTGGTACCGGTCTCGGCTCTTCTGAGGGAGGAGCACATTGAGATCTGAAGCATGGTAGCTGGTGTGGGATCAGGACAGGGAAGAACGCTGTCTCTCCTTGGCTGGGTGTCCAGGTTCTCGGCTGGAGGAGTCACTCTACAGTGACCAGGAGCTGGCCTACATCCAGCAGGGAGAGGAGGCCATGCAGAAGGCCCTGGGCATCCTCAGTGACCAGGAGGGCTGGAAAAAGGAGAGCCAGCAGGTAAGGATGGGGTGAGAAACCTGCAGCTTGCCACTGTCACAGTGCATCCTCAGCGCTCCCAGGGGGCTGGCCTCCTGCAGTAAGAAGCATGGGGTTTTGACTTCCCAAGAATACATTCTCTCAGGTAACTCTTCTCCCTGGGAGAGTCTTGTTGGAGAAACTCTGTTCTTGTATCTTTAGCTACTCTCAGAACAGTGTATACCCATTAAGCAGAAAACCTGAAATGGGCTCCATGTGCATTAGAGTATCAAACCCGAGCTCCAAAGTGCATTGTGCTCAGCCACCCTGAACAGGGGGGTGGGAGAGGGCCCAAAGCTGTCTGGGGCACTCACTGGGGAACAGTAACAAGGCCTGTCCCAAAAGCCAGGGGCTCTTATCGGAGACTTGTGGTGGCTTTATCTTCAGCAACAGCTTACATGCTGTCCTATTCCAAAGTTCTAGCAAAACCTCTCCTCAAGTTTTCTGACTAATGGAAATAACAGAGTAAGTTTGGGAGTTTTAGAAACCTGGGACCTAGGCCGAGCACTGCTCTTTGCTAAGGGCTCAGTGAACTTTTCTGGCCTGAAGTCCTTCTGGTATGAGGTATTTAACTGCTGGAAAAACAAACAATCAAACAACAAAAAAACTCCCACAAACTCCTAAAGATTCCACTCCAAATTCTGCTTATACGATATAATTAGCTGATTATAAACCAGGCTTTTCCCACTCCCAGGATCTTTGAGCTCTTGCAGTCACATACTGGTTTTTTCAACTGGACCTATCTCCGTCATCATCTGCCACCAAGAAGGGTCTGGGGTTCGTGGGTTCCTCTTCAAGTCTTCAGTAGATGTCCACACCTGTGGCAGGAAAGATCATCACTACTCTGTCATAACAAGACAGGTTGAGATGTCTTCATGCTCAGCTTGGATTTCCTTTTACTGGACCCCTCTCAACCTTGCCTAGCACTGGCTTGAGACCTAGGCTTGGAATATTTTCCTCTAGCCATTACTCTAGGGGTCTTTTTTCTCCCTGGCAGGCAAATGGGGACAAAGTGCTGAGTAAGGTAGTTCCAGATGTGGGCAAGGTGTTCCGGCTGGAGGTGGTGGTGGAACAGCCCATGAACAGGCTCTACGAAGAGCTTGTGGATCGGATGGAGACAATGGGAGAGTGGAACCCAAACATCAAGGAGCTCAAGGTGAGGAAAGCCCACGTGTGAGTGGTAGGTGCCCAGCAGAGTCCAGTGTGAAAGGCAGGCCAACAAAGGACCCAAGCTGTGGATGGTCCTTAGCCCCAGCACTGGCTGAGGAGTGATCTGGTTCCCCTGTGGCCTGGCAGGTCCTGCAGAAGATTGGAAAAGACACTGTCATCACCCATGAGTTGGCTGCAGAAGCAGCAGGAAATCTTGTGGGCCCCCGAGACTTTGTGAGTGTGCGCTGTGCCAAGCGCCGAGGATCCACCTGCGTGCTGGCAGGCATGGCTACACACTTCAGGGACATGCCTGAGCAGAAAGGAGTCATCAGGTAAGATGGCAGCAGGCTTGGAGACCCCTTCTCTGAACAGGCCATGGTATGCATCCAAGTATATCATGGGTCAGAGTCCCCAGCTCCAAAAAATGAATTCTTGGCCCATCCCCAGATTTCTTCTACAAAAGATTCTCCTTTTCTGGCTTGGTGTGATGGTGCATACCTGTAGTCCCAGCACTCCTGATACTGAGGCAGGAGGATCTGTTCCTGACTCCCTGCCACCTAGCAACCAAAGGGCCCAACAGCAGGGTTCAGGTTCCACTGTAGCTACACCATTTATTCTGAAGAGCTGGTAACCATCCCAACCATCAGGTATCACCACTGGCAAAGGGGACTGCCCATGAGGTTTGGATAAAGGACAAGGTACTCCAGAAATGTGTCTGGAGTAACTGCTGGAGTCAGCATCAAAGGGAACTCTGATTTGTGTTCCTGACTTGCCTTCTACTTCTCCACCAGAGCCGAGCAGCGCCCCACCTGCATGGTGCTTCATCCTCTGGCTGGGAGCCCCACCAAGACCAAACTCACCTGGCTGCTAAGTATTGACCTCAAGGTGAGGCACGGTGGATGGCAATGAGAAAAGCAGGCCTGTCCTCCTCACACACACCACAGTCACAGGCTGCGGGGTGGAGAAGTGATGATGGCAGGATGCTATCCCACCACCTCCAAAGCCTAGAGTGGCTCCCTTAGCACTCATACCAAATTTCTAGTCTATGCTATCATTTCAGAAAAAAGGAAGTTTAGGAGCCAGGTCCACATCTTAATCCCAGCTTTGGGAGGCTAAGGTAGAAGGATTGTGAGTTGTATCATTAGCTACATAGCAAGACCCTGTCTCAAAAAAAAAAAAAAAAAAAAGTAGCTGGGTTTGGTGGCACAAACTTGTAACATTAGCACTCAGGAGGCCAAGACAGGAAGATTGGAGTGAGTTTGAGGCCAGCTTGGGCTACATGGTGAGTTCAAGGACAGTTTGAATTATAGAGCAAGACCCAGTCTCAAAAAAAAGGTAACTTAGGGCCTGAAATCTTAGTGTGAGAAAGGTGATGTAAACATAGATTGTTCAGGGTCACACGGCTGTGAACACAGGACTGGATTTTGTCTTAAGAGCAAATCTGGTGTCCCAGGCAGGCCGTGTCTGTGACAGGGTAGAGATGTCCAGAGCAGAGCGGCACCAGTGATGGACACCTTCTCCTGTCTGCACTGCAGGGGTGGCTGCCAAAGAGCATCATCAACCAGGTCTTGTCACAGACCCAGATGGAATTTGCCAACCACCTGCGCAAGCACCTGGAGTCCAGCCCCGCCTCAGAAGCCCGCTGTTAAACACCAGCCTGCTGTTCCCTGAGCCTCTTGAACTGACCTGCATGTGCATCAGGGCCGTCCACCCCGCACCCCCACCCTGCCCTGGAAGCCTGCAAGTCTAAGATCTTCATCCGGAGACAGGGAGGGAGGGGTGGGAAGTTTAGGGTGTGAGGATAGGGCCGGGACTATTAACAGCCTCAGCACCAAGGAAACAGCAAGCAGGCTCTCAAAGAGAAGACCTCTACCTTCACCCACTGAGTAGCTCTGAATGTAGACTAAGCTCCTAAGATATTGGTCAGACATTTTTCTGGGCCCTTATATGCCCCCACTAAAGCCATCTTTAGAATGCTAGTGGCTGATCTAGGCGCAGGGGCTGCTAAACCTAAGAAGCGGTCTCAAGAACCTCTCCCTGCAGGCAGGGCTCAGACCATGCAGGGCCTTTCCCAGGGGCTCAGCAGACTTTGGCTCCTGCACCAAGAAGGATCAGGGACACACAAGAGGATCAGGCTGGCCTCATTACTCATCCCACAAGCACCAGTCAGAATAAAGTCATAACTAACACAAGAACCTCAGTCTGTACTTGTTTTAAAGTTCTGTTATTAGGGCTGGGGATTTAGCTCAGTGGCATCGCGCCTGCCTCACAAGCGGAAGGTCCTGAGTTCGATCTCCGATACTATCAAAAAACAAAACAAAAACCCCAACAAAGTTCTGTTATTAAAAAAAAAAAAATCTAACATTATAACCTCATCCCAAAAAAGATTTAAACTAAATCTCACTAAAAGAAATACTGCAGATTTATATCATTCAAATATTTAGAATGTTTACTAAAAATCTTTCATAAAAATTAATTTTTTTTTTTCTTTTTTGGTACTGGGGATCGAACTTGGGACCTTGCACTTGAGAGGCAGGCGCTGGAACCACTGAGCTAAATCCCCGGCCCACATAAAATTAATTTTCATAGTAAGCACAAACCTAAATCAGCTCTTAAGGAACTCTGTAACTGACAGCTGATTAATGAATGGCCCTGGAAGACGATTATAACTGCAGCTTTTTATCTAATTAAAAGGAAGGATAGTACCAAATATAATAAACAATACTAAGATAAAGTTAACATTTTTATTATTTAATGCCAAATAGTATAGTAGTAAAAGAATTACACAGCTGTCAACTTGGCTCAGAGCTGCCAACTTCTCTGCTTGAAAGGTTAAAATTGTACCATTTTGGGACCGGAAGTGGCTGGAAGAAGGGGTAATATGGTAATAGCAAGTTCCCTTTTTCAGGATACAGAGAAGTTAGACTTTAAAAATATAAATTAGAGCTGATGTGATGGTGCATGCTGTAATCCCAGCACTTGGGAGGCTGAGGCAGGAAGGTAGCCTGGGCTACACAATGAGCCCCAGGCCAGCATGGGCTACACAGCAAGTCTCATAACACACAGATGCAGGGCTGGGGATTTAGCTCAGTGGTTCCGCCGCCTGCCTTGCAAGTGCAAGGTCCCGAGTTTGATCCCTGGTGCCCCAAAAAACCAATAAAACAACAACACAGATACATAGAATGGGATTACTTTGCTAAATTTATGTAGGATACAAAATCAATTATACCTGAAGCTTTTCCATTCTAGTTTTAAGAGCTCTGATGACTTGCACCATTTGGAAAGAGGGTTCTAGCTTAATAAACAAATTAGTTGCAGGAGCCCTACTATTAGGTTAAGTATTTATTGAGATGTTAAAATATAACAGATGATAGAAATATTTATAACTTATTCTGGTTATTTCTTAGTCTATTTTTAGCACAGGTGAAATTATTACTTATCTGGGAGCCTCTAAGAGAGGATGGTTGTGGAGAAGTACTTCTACAGCAGAATCATAGCCCACTGCTAGCCAAGAGAAGTTATTTGCTTAAAAGTTGCTAAAGCAACCTGTACACTAGTTCAAGAATGGGCTGATGGCAAAGAAGAGAGATTTCAACAAACACCATGGTTTTAGGCTGGGTTGTAATTTACTCTTTCAAACTATGTAACTGTAACTATGTCTTTTTGATGTGTGGGGAGGTATTTTCCAACTTAATTTTACATTTGAATAAAACAAGTTGTCACTAATAATCTGATTACAGAAAATATGTAGAATTAGATGAAGATCTTCAAACAGACCTGGATTAATGCCGGAGCTTGGACACACATACTCTCTTGAATATAAAGTATTAACAACAAAATCACTTTGTGTAACTAATTTATGAAGGACAAATACATAAACCTAATTTTATAAAATATTACCCACTTTTTCTTGGAGTCCTTCAAACTCTAGTAGGTTAGAATAAAGAAGTCTTTATTGTTTTGAGACAAGATCTCGCTAATTTGGCTTGAATTTTCGGCAATCTTCCCGCCTTAGGCTCCTGAGTATTGGGCATGTGCCACCATGCCTGGCCAAGTCTGTCTTCTAAAATCAGTCCATGCATTAGTAGGTGTCTATTATCTGATAGGTTGAGTCCTCGGCCTACAGTCATATTAACTGTGTTTGGTTTCCTGTCAAGATGTAGAATGGATGGGCTGGGGATTTAGCTCAGTGGTTTCGCTGCCTGCTGTGCAAGAGCAATGACCCAAGTTCGATCCCTGGTACCAAAAAAAAAAGAAAAAAAAGATGTAGAATGGACAACAGCTGGGTATGGTGGTGCACACCTATAATCCCAGCACTCAGGAGGCTGAGGAAGGAGGATGGCCATGAGTTCAAGACCAACCTGGGCTACATAGTGAATTCAAGGCCAGCCTGGACTACATAGTGAGAATGTCTCCTAAAACAAAACAAAGCAAAAAAGTGGAATGGACAAAACAAGGAGTCTGGACAATTCAATAAAAGACAAAGTTGTCAATGCTACTGTGTTACGATGCCACAAACTACTTGAACTTGGGAAAAATTTTCAACAGAAAAACAAAAATAAGCTACTCTGAAGAGCCACAGGCATGATATTAGTGTTTGTGTGTCAGCATAACACCTGTTAAACCAGTCTGCTTACTGACCTGGTAGACAGTTACATGTGTCTTTGGGCAATCCTGAGACACTGCATTTGCCTCCAGTCTTCTGTATTTTCTTTTTTTTTTTGGTACTGGGGATCGAACTCAGGTTCTTGCACTTGCGCAGCAGGCGGCAAAACCACTGAGCTAAGTCCCCGGCACCCCAGACCCAAGTCTTGTGTATTTAAGAAGGGAGATGGGGGACCGGGGGGCCTTGCAAGCGCAAGGTCCTGAGTTTGATCCCCAGTACCAAAGAAAAAAAAAAAAGGGAGATGGGGAGCTGATAAGAGATCTCAAAGGAAGCTTACTCTAACCTTGTGGTTTCTGGGATTCTGAAAATGGCCCCTGTTTTCCTTTGGCAGTTCTGGGGGCTGAACTGAGGGTCTTTGCACAGGCTGGGTAAACTCTCTCAGTGAGTGACATCCCCAGCCCTGCAAACTGCACTTTCATCATCAGCTAATATAAGGGAAGACACACACGGCAGGAAACAGCCTGCACACATCAATACCACGTTCACAGAAAGTGGAAGGAAGCTGTTAGCCCTTCTAAACTCCTGTTCACCATGAGATTCCAATTTCCCCAGGGAGCTTGATTTGGCAGTGAGAATGGGAACAAGTGGAGGGGGTGAGCTGTAAATAAGAAACCTGTCTCTCCTTCCAAGCTGGCCCCCCTTCCTCACACCACCCACATTTCTGACACCGTCGCTAAGAGAAAACCACTCTGAGGCAAACCAAGTACCACACAAACCCAAGTTTTATTTGGAGAGATCTAATTCTGCTAAAGCGGAGCAAGTCTTTCATAATTCCAGTTCTAGAGACCTAATAGTTTCAGAGATTCCAGGGTTCAAAGGTGTATTTTAAAATCAACAGCCAAACCCACACTAAAAGGAAAGCAGTTTTAGATGAGCCAAGAATGTACTGCCAGATTTCAGTTCTCAGAAACAGTCCCACAGCCCCGGAGACCAGGCAGGCAGAGTCAATGCTTGCAGAAGGAAATATATTTTAGATAAATTAGCTGTTGTGCAGAGTACCACTCCTTAGAAAATGCAGCAAGGTAACAAGTCCCCACTGGCAGGGATGGGACACAGCACCATTTCACAGGGAGTTTATGGGGCCTGGGGTTGGCAGTTGTTGGTTGATGGCACATAACACGGGAGCGTCACAGGGAGCGGTGAGGGAATGTCAGGCAGTCCCACCCAGCCTTTCAACGGGCTGAAGGAGAGCAGTGCCCTGCAGCATCTTTGGGAGAACATTTGAGAGTTAAAAACGAAAACCTCAGCCTTATTCTCCAGGAAGTTCAAGTCTGAAAAGAGCTCAGACCCATCAGGGTTCCCAGGGGGGACTGCGCCTCCCATCCACTTCTGTCTCCACGTGATACAGGACGTCGGCCAGCGTGTGCTCGACCACAGCACCCCAGCCCATGTCGCTCATCTGCAGGAGGAGCAGAAACAGGGAAGGCGTCAAGCAGAGCCACGTGGGAAGGAGGCGTCCGAGGGCACAGACACATGCAATACTCACAGGGCGGTAAGTGAGGTCCTTCGGAGGGTACTTGAAGCATGGGCCAAAGTTAATGGAAACCTGGCGTTAAGTCAGTTCAGGCAGACATGGAAAAACAACACAAAATGAAACAAAAAAATTGAGAAGTTAATCTGACGTGAAAATTTTCACTTTCAATGTAGCTATGATACCTGGGGTATAAATTTAACAAAGGAGATAATGGATTATTGTTGCCAAAACTGATCAAAATCCTAATGCCCACCAAGAATTGGGTAGAGACAGACCTGTATTAAATTCTGTTAAAGACTAAAGATTTATTTTACCTTCTTCAATGATGCTACTGGACAGACTAAATATATATAGAAATCCCCATGTGTTAAACTTTTTTTTTTAAAGGCAAATAGGCCGTGACTATTCCTTTCTCTCTTTTTTTTGGTACTGGGGATGGAACTCAGGACCTTGGGCTTGTGAGGCAGGTGCCAGAAACACTGAGCTATCCCTGGACCTTTTTTTTTTTTTTTTTTGAGACAGAGTCTCACTATGTAGTTCAGGCTGGCCTTCAACTCACTATGTAGCCCACAATGGCCTCAAACTCACAGCGATCCTCCTGTCTCAGGCTCCAGAGTACTGGGATCATAAGCATGGGCCACATGCCTGGCTTTGTATCATATTCTTTAGCAGTCTGTGTACAGCCACTAACAGCTCCTAATAATGGCAGGTCATCATGACACACAACCCTAACGGGAATTGTACACACAAATGCATACTGTGCCTGTACTCTGAATCCCATGAAGGGTGTGTCCAGTCTGAACTGGACAGAGACACCCCACAGTGTGTTTGGAGGAAAAGCACATGTACTCTAATTGCATAATCATGTCCTAAACTCCACTAGAAAGTAAAGTGACAAGGGAAGCAGATTCATGGATAACTCTGAAGCTGCTCAGGCTTCTTTCCAGGGCTCAGTCAGTGGCTCTTCAGCAACCCAGTCATAGTGTTTTGTTTTGTTGTTTTTAAGGTAGGGTCTTGCCATGTAGTCCAGGCTGGCCTTAAACTCAGTGTGTATCCCAGGCTGGCCTCGAACTCACCACAATCCTGCCCTAACCCTCAGCCTCCAAGTGCTCAGAATTCAGTCATACGTTTTGTTACAGGATGAACACAGGATACATACCGTGCAGCTCTTGTACAGTGAGATAGCAGGAAAGTAAACCCCCTCAAAAATATCTTTGTAAGCCACACCTTGATTGACACCATTTTTATAAAATATAATCTGAAACAAAAATCATGGCTTTACTTCAGAATTTTAAAAAAGAACAAAAGAACTGACTTAGAGAACATATAAGAAGTGCTGCTGGCAGACTGACAATATAGTATATTGCAAGAACAGTGTATTGTTTATGTAGTAACAGTATCCTAAATTTACATGATACCCTTGATTTCTCAAAGTAAAATTAATGTAAATATGTACCAATCCAATTGATTTCAGCTTTTTTACTTGCTTTCTGAATTCCTATGTGACATATACTAAATGGTTCTACATTACACTAGTTATCATATTTTATCTAAAAGCAGCAAGCCAGCCTTCCAGATCCCCTGGAACTAAACCTACTGATTCTTAGTTATTTTTCTATTCTTTTTCCTTTCATTAAGTTCTCATTTCTTTTTTCTTTTTTTTTTTGGTACCGGGTATTGAACTCAGGACCTGGCACCTGCGAGGCAGATGTGGTGCCACTGAGCAAAATCCCCGACCTCTCATTTCTTTTTCAAACTTTGAAGTTTACTTGAGTCTTCAGTTGTAGAAGATGAAGCCTCAGGGCTGGGGATTTAGCTCAGTGGCAGGTGGTGGAACCACTGAGCTAAATCCCTGGCCTGAGCCTCATCTTTTTTTCTGTTTGAGTCAGGGTCTCACTATGTAGTTCAGACTGGCCTTGAACTCACTGTGTAGCCCAGGCTGGCCTCCAACTTGCAGATTCTCCTGACTCAGCCCTGCAAGTACTGGGATCAAAGGTATGTGCCACCATGACCAGCTGAATCCTCATTTTCTTTATGCATTTTTTCCTGAGTGCACCATGACCATGCCTGGCATGTCACAGCATTTTTACATAAACATTTCCAGCTCTCTGCAGAACTTTCTCCCTCCCTATACTCCTTCCCCTTGGGCTTTGGCCTTTGAGGCTGGCCCAGATATGTCACCCTTCTTGGATGGTACTGTGCCCTGGGAGGAAGGCAGGGGGCCCTTACAGCTCTACTTCCACTGGGCCACACTGTGAGGTCCCCTCCCCTAGGTGTGCTGTTCCCTCTGCTCAACCACCGCCTTGGACGGGGTAAGGGCAGCAGATTTGCCTCCGCAATCTCCTCAGCAGGCTGCTCATCCTACCTGTTCTCTACAGTGCTCATGACAGACACTGCACCCTTGAGCTGTAGCACTGAGGCACCACAGCCCTGCTCCTGGCTGTGCTGTAGCACCACTGCTGGCTGGCTGTGCTGCCTGACAACCCCCGTTTTCCCTCCCTCTGCATTTTTCTTGCTTGTAATTCTGAGGATTTTATGACCATGACTCACTCACCTCACTATGAGGAGTCTGCTTCAGGCTCTTCTCGGCTTTATCCACAAAATCTTTCTCCTCAAAATACAAGTAACTCTTGAATTTTATCAAAGCCTTAAAAACCGAGAGGAAAAACAGGCATATTGAAGCATCAGCTGCATCATGGAGATAACCAAGTCAGACTCACACAAAGTACAGAGTCCTTGTATTCACGACAGAAGACAGAAATCCTTGCCGTGGAGTTCTGTCAGATTTTGAACTACTATGTGTTTACTCCATCTTGGTACTAGGGGTGGAACCTAGGGGCTCTCACATGCTAGGCAACGATTCTACTACTGCTACATCCCCATCCCTTCTTTTTAGCTTTTTTTTGTACAGGGGATCGAACTCAGGTCCTTGCACTTTTGAGGCAGGCGGCAGAACCACTGAGCTAAATCCCCGGCTCTTTTATCTTATTTTGAGACAGGGTCTCACTAAGTTGTCCATGCTGCCCTCAAACATGTGATCCTCCTGCCTCAGTCTCTGGAGTAGCTGAGATAACAAGTGTCTATCACCATATTTGGCTTACTATGTACTTCTTAAAAACTACCAGCAGGGCTGGGGATTTAGCTCAGTGGCACCATGCCTGCCTCATAAAGCACAAGGTCCTGAGTTCAACCCCTGGGTAACCCCCACCAAAACAAACAAAACTACCAGCCAGTCATACTTGTTAAACATTTTTTAAAGGTGCTTAGTAAGAAAATTAAAGAAATACATACATTTAAGTACACATTCTCATCTTAACAAAAAAATCCCCATAAAAGAGGCTAAATGAGCTGCATGTGATGGCTCATGCCTGCGATCTCAGTACTCAGGAGGCTGAGGCAGGAGGATCACCACAAGCTTGAGGCCAGCCTTAACTACTGTCTCAAAATAACCAGGCTACATTAATTCATACATTTTTAATAATCTCAGAGGAAAAAGTAACGACTCTCCAGAGCCCAAAGCCCCATACTGGGTAGCACTATTCTGAGGTAACACTTCCTTCCCTTCGGGCTTCTTGATTCCCTCACAGGTGACCCTTGAATCCCAAGAGCCTATTTAGCTATGCATTCCCAAGAGAACATATGACATTCATTACATTTTAACACTGAACTTCTTAGTAGATACATGTGTTAGGCATGGTTTTAGAACATTCACAAGACATATAAATAAATAAAATGCAGAGTATCTTTCTCCACCCCATGTCTCACCAACAGTCTCCCTTGCAAACGTGAGTACACACCAGATAGACATACAAGGAACATGCATGGCAAAAGCATACAAGCTCTGCTTTGCATCTTGAGTATTTCACTCAGCAATATACAGTAGAGATCATTTTATATCAGTATATATGTAGCTTTTGAACAGATCCATTGTATTGTCTTATGTATATCTTATTAACAAATTAAAAACGAATATTCATAATATAATTAAAAAGTAAAATTTTTACATTTTAATTAATTTTTGGCTGGAGCTACAGCCATGTGCCACCACACTGGGTAAAAAATAAACCATTGGAAAGATCCCTAGTGTACTCTCTCAGGGAGCTGCAGACTCTGCTTCTGTACCACAGGCACTCATGTGCTGCACATCAGGGTCCTGGATGGCAGGACGGCAGGGTGTGAGCCGAGAGTCCAGAGTGTGGTACTGTTCGTAAAATGAGATCTGGGGCTGCTCCTTTTCCGAACAAATTTAGAGGACATCCACTACTCAATTTATTTATTTATGTTTATGTGTTACTTTGGCAGTACTGGGTATATGTTAGGCAAATCCCTACCTCGAGCTCTATCCCCAGCCCCTACTAGCCAATGTAGAGGTGTACTCTGAAGCAACAATGATCCAGGATGATGAACAGACAGGTGGCAGAGTCCAAAATTAAATCTGTTTAGGTGGTCATTTGGTTTTCATGACAGACATGACAGAAAACCAGTGGAGCCAGGAGACATTAACAAGTGGTTTTGGAAAGCTGGGGAGCCCTGTGGAGAAAAATAACCTTGACTTCCACACCACAAAAACTAATTCAAGGTGGATCAGAGACTAAAGCGTAAAAGCTAAAAGTATGCTTCCTTCCTTCCTCTCTCTCTTTTTTTTTATTGTTTTGGTACCAGGGATCAAACTCGGGACCTTGCGCTTGCAAGGCAGGCGGCAGAACCACTGAGCTAAATCCCTGGCCCCCTTTTTTATTGTTTTTTAAAGACAAGGTCTTGTTATGTAGCCCAGGCTGGCCTTCAACTCAGGGTGATCCTCCTGCCTCAGACTCCCAAGTGCTGGGGTTACAGGTGTGTGCCACCATGCCAGGCTAAAATGTGGTAAATTAGACTTCGCAAAAATTAAAACTTGAAAAAAAAACTAAAACTTGTGTGAACCAGAAGACACTATTAAGAAAGTGAACAGATAAGTGACAGAGGAGAAATATACCATACCTGACAAATGACCATAATTTAGAACACATAGAGAACCCCTACAAATAAATAAGATAGCCCAGTCAAAAAATAAACCAGCCAGGCAACAGGACTGCCACAAGTTCAAGGCCAGCCTGAACTGCATACCAAGACTCTGTCTCAAAAAACCAAAACAAGTGGGCTGGGGATTTAGCTCAGTGGTGCTGCCCTCCACCTGCTCCCAAGTGCAAGGTCCTGAGTTCAATCCCCTGTACCAAAAAAACCCAAAGCAAGAAAAAAGATATTTGAATAGAAACTTCACAAAAGATACATGAATGGGCAATAAGCACAAGAAAATGGTATTACTATAATCCAAGAAATGCCAATTTAAGCCAAAATGAAATATCACTAAGCAACCATCAAAACGGCTAAAATTAAGACGACAGTAAATGCTAACATCTAAAACTCTTTCCAAGGTTTTTTTTTTTTTTTTGGTACCAGGGATCAAATTCGGGACCTTGTGCTTGGAGGCGGGCGGTGGAACCACTGAGCTAAATCCCTGGCCCATCTAAAACTCATATATATGGGTTGCTGGTGATGAAATCCAGTTATTTCTTGGAAAACTAAATTTAAGTACCCCATGACTCAATAATTCCTCATAATTAAAACATTTATAAAGAGATGCATAAGAATGTTCATGGCATAGGGCTGGGGATTTAGCTCAGTGGGTTCGCTGCCTGCTGCAGTAGCGCAAGGATCCGAGTTCGATCCCCGGTACCAAAAAAAAAAGAATGTTCATGGCATCCTTACTCACAGTAGTCCCCAACTTAAAACACCCAAGTGTCCATTAACAGGAAAATGAATAAACATCTTGTAGTCCTTTTATGTTTTTCAGTACTGGGGATTGAACCCAAAGGTTGCTCTACCACTAGCTATACCTTCAGCCTTTTTTATATTCTTTTTGAGGGTCTCCTTAGATTGGCCAGGCTGGCTTCCAGGCCATCATCCAGGCACACACTATGATATAAGCTTAGGTTGTGCTGTGATGGTCATGCAATGGGATATAACCTTGCATTAAGGCGGAACTAGACATAATGAACAACATGGATGAATCCCAAGAGCATTAGAGCAAATGATAAAAGCCAGATACAGAAGACTACATATTGTATGATTACATTAAGTTCAAGAATAGGCAAAAAGTAGGCCGGGCATGGTGGCACACGCCTGTAATTCCAGCACTTGGGAGGCTGAGGCAGGAGGATCACTGAGAGTTCAAGGCCAGCTTGAACTGTATAGTGAGATCCTGTCTCAAAAAAACCAAAAAAAAAAGAGGAGGTAAAAACTAAACTACAGTAGAAAAAATTAAAACAGTAGCTGTCTATATGGGCTTGAGGATCGGAACCAACTGGGAAAAGACAAGAGGAAACTGCTAACAGTATACATCTCAGTGGAGGGTAAGATCAAATTTATAACTCAACAAATGGTCACATACAATGTATTTCTTTTTTTTTTTGGTATCAGAGATTGAACTCAGGACCTTGTGCTAGACCAGCAGGCGCCGGGACGCTGCTAAATCCCTGGCCCCATGTATATTTCATTTTACATACATTTTGAATCAAAAGACAAAACTAGCCAGGCATGGTGGTGCATGCCTGTAATCCCAGTACTTGGGAGGCTGAGGCAGGAGTATCGATGCAAGTTTGAGACCAGCCTGGGCTCCATGATGAGGTCAAGGCCAGCCTGAACTACATATCGAGACCTTGTCTCAACCCCTACCCTCCCCCCCAAAAAGGACAAAACTAAACAAGGCTGAATACTAGCTAGTGAAACACACACTGAAGGGGTGGAAATGTACTCATATTTGCAATTTTCTCTGTCGTGTGTAAGAAGGGTGAATGGACAGATGGGTGGAAGAAGGGATCTAAACATCTGAATGGTAGAATCATGGGTGTTTGGCCACTGACTTAAATTCTTTCCACTCTGTCACTCTGTCTGAAAGTGTATTGAGAGTGTGGGAAGAACATGGATTAACACATAGGCCGCAGATGCAGGCGCTGGCTGCCCAGCCTTCGTGGGCAGGCACCCAGGAGGGGACAAACTCACCTTGTCTTTGTAAGTATCAGGCAGTGACTTGGCTGTCTCTGTATCTTCGGGAAGATTGATATAAAAGCCCAGGACATCTCCCTGTCCATATCCGGAAGAGTAGTGTTTGCCAATGGACTGGTGAAATTTGGTTCCCTTTTTGCTCCGCCAAGAATAGCTAAATTTATCGTAACCTAAGGGAGCTTGAAGGTTACCTGTCCCAACAAAAAGTAAGAAACTGGATGACTGCAGGTCAACTCTGGTTTCCCAAGCAAACAGATTCTACTGCTCTTTATTTTATAATCTTTTGGTAATTTGGTAGTTCTCACAAGTATTCTGGAAACTGCAAATGAGCTAACCCTTCAGACATAGACTGTGATGCCCCATGAGGTAAACCCAGTCACTGTGGTGGCCACATGAGCCTTCCAGCTCACCTAAGGGCTGGGACCATCCCAGCCTGGCAGCGGTATCCGGCGGCATCTCGTCCACAGTGATTTCAAAGTACCAGGTGCCTTTCCGGACCCCATGGGAGGCCCGCACCATGGAGTAGCCCTTCTCACCCACCACGGTCAGCCGGTCGTCAGAGATCTTCAGCTGGGGAGCTGCAGCGGCAGAGATGCAAACAGAGGCTGCAACTCACCTGAGACACTTGGACAAGAGCCCTTACATGCCAGTGAGACAGCACAGAAAGGCAGAGTGTTAGCGCAGGGGCCTAAGAATACCAGTGTGAGGTACTGACAAAAAGGAGAGGGGAGAGAGGAAGAAAGCTGTCATCTACTGTCTATTAAATGCAATTATTTCAGATGATAGGTTAAAATTAATTGTACTGCATATGCACAGTCCCTAAATTTAATGAACCAATTGTAACGTGTTTAGTCACTATTTTGAGTAAACTAACCTTTAAAAGATTTAAGTGTGTGTGTATGTGTGTGTGTGTGTGTGCAGTACTGGGGATACAGCCCAGGGGCTCTTTAGCACTAAGCTACTCTGCCCTTTACTGATTTTTGAGACAGGGTCCTGCTATATACTCCAGGCTGGCCCTGAACTCGCTAGGTACTAAGGCATTGAATTGCTGGCTTTTAAGTCACAATCCTCCTGCCTCAGCCTCCTGATTAGAGGTATGAGACACCATGCCCAACTATTCTTTTTATTTTTTGAGGCATTCTCACTAAGTTGTCCAGGCTAGCCTTGAACTTTCAATTCTCTTAGCCTCTTGAGTAGCTGGAATTACAGCCATATACCACCATACCTGGTTAAAACATTTAACTTTTTAAGCTTGGATGTAGCTCAGTGGTAGAACATTTTCCCAGCATGCATCAGGCCTGGGTTCAATACCTAGAACTGCAAAATAAATAAATAAAAATAAATTAACTTTTTTGGTGTGTGTGTGTGTGGTTTTTTTTTTTTCCCCCGGTACTGGGGATTGAACTTGGAACCTTGCACTTGCGAGGCAGGCGTTGGACCCACTAAGTAAATCCCCGGCCCCAGTGTTTGTGTTTTTTGAGAGAGGACCTCACTATATAGTTCAGGCTGGCTTTGAACTCACTATGTTGCCCAGGCTGTCCTTGAATTTGCCATGATCCTCCTGCCTCAGCTTCCTAAGTGCAAGTGCTGAGATTACAGGTGTGTACCACCTCACCTAGGCCTATAAAAATTGAACAATAATTTCAGACTTTTAAAATAACAAGCCAGGGTCAGGGATTTAGCTTAGTGGTTCTGGAACCTGCCTCGTAAGTGCAAGGTCCCAAGTTTGATCCCTGGTACCAAAAATAAAAAATAAAAATAAAATTTAAAAAATTAAAATAACAAGCCAGTTGTGCTGGTACAAGCCTATAATCCCAGATACTTGGGAGGCTAAACCAGGAAGATCAGGCCAGCCTAGGTAATATAGTGAGATTACATCTAAAAACAAAAGTAGAGTTACAACCATGGAAGAAATACCAAACCAGCTAATTATCCAGGCATAGCGGCACATGCCTGTAATCCCAACATTCTGGGAGGCTGAGGCAGCAGAATCACAAGTCTGAATCCAGTCTGGACAACTTAGCAAAACCCTGTCTCAAATTTAAAAAATAAGAAAAAGTGCTGGAGATATAGCTCAGTGTGAAGGGCCTGAGTTCAATTCCCAGTACAAAAAGAACAAATTAAAATAAAACATACACAAACCCAGACGACTGCTACTTAGAAGAATCACTAGAGCCCAGGAGTTCAAAGCTACCCTGGGCAAAAAAGCAAGAATCCTTATAAAAAACAAACAAAAACTCCCTCCAAAATTAACACTGACATAATACTATTAATTACAGAAAAGCCAATTATCAAATAATACCCTTTTTTCTTATTCAGGACCTAATTCAACATTGTTAAATGTTGGATCACTACAACACAGTCAATATTAACAGGATACTGATGAGCTCACCTCCTCTCAAAACACTGAATTACACAAGGAAAAAGAGTAACTGTACAGTGGCTAAGCCTGACAGACATCACCTCAGTCAGGTGAACAACTGTCACCAGTTCCGGAATAAACAACACTCGACAGGATGCAACACGCAGAAGACAGCTCAATTTGGTGACATTCCTGCCAAAGCGGTGTAACTTGAATCACAAATTGAAACTGAGTAGTGTACTATAAAATAATTAGCTTGTAATTTTCAAAAGCACCCAAGTCAAGAAGATGAAGGAAATGCTGGGATTGAAGAAGTCTTAGGAAACATGACTGTGCAGCAAGTGACTCAAGTGGATCTTTTCTAGAGATTACAGGACAAACTGGAGAAACCCGGGTAGAACCCAGGGTCAGACAACAGTAATGAGATACTAATCTCCTAATTTTGATAGTTATATGCTGGTTCTGCAAGAATGCAAAGTTTTATAAAATATCCAAAAATTCTTTGATACACCTTCCTTCATGAGATAGAGCTCCATTTCCCTCCACATGGACTTAGTGACACATTTCGGCCAAATAAGATCATGTTGGTAGCTAGGGGTGTAGCTTATTGGTAATATGTGTACTTAGCGGCCGGGGGGCGGGGGCCCTCTGTGTTTAATCCCCAGCACCACAAAATAAGTAAAGTGTTATGGTTTGGGCCTAGATGTCCCCCCAAAGCTTCATGTGGTCATAGGCTTGATCTAGAGGATGTGAAGTTGGAATTGATTCATGATGCAATTCCAGGCTCAAGGGCACTAGGAATTAAGGGTATGAGTGCTACTTGCCCTAAGTAGTCTGAATAAGATAAAAGGGGCAGGGAGACCTGTTAGTTCCCTTGTTACCTTTGCTGCCTTGTGTGTGCCATGTTGTTTCTGCTCTGCCATGCCTGTTTGTCGTCCCTGCCTTGGAGCTGACTGATTATGGACTGAAACCTCTATGAACTGTAAGCCAAATAAATCCCTTCCCCTTTAACTTTGGGTGTCTGGTATTTTTTCTCAGCAACAGGAGAAAAGTAACTTAACAGGAACAGCTAGATAAACAGCTAGCTGGATAGCTGTAGAGATAGCTAGATAGATAGTAGAGGTGCACTCCTGTAATCCCAGCACTCTGGGTGGCTGAGGCAAGAAGACCACAAGGTTAAGTCCAGCCTGGGCAACTCATCAACTTAATGAGACTCTGTCAAAAAAAAAAAAGCTGGGTGTGGTGGTGCATGCCTGTGATCCTAGCACTGGGAGGCTGAGGCAGGAGGATTGCCACCCCCACCCAAATAAATAAAAAATGATAGACTATAACTCAGTGTGAATGGCCTGGGTTCTAATGCCAGTACAAAAAACAAAACAACCTCCCCCCCACAAATTCATATATACACGTGAAACCCATTAATTTGTACATTTTCTTAAAATATAGGGTCTCATTATATAGTTGAGGCTGGCCTTGAACTCACTATGTAGCTGATGCTGGCCTCATAATTGTGAAGATCTCCTGCTTCAGCCTCCTGAGTGCTGGAACTACAGGTGTGCACCACCATGTCCAGCAATATTGTTTTTAAAACAGCCATAAGGGCTGGGGATGTAGCTCAGTAGTAAAGCACTTGGGTAGTATGTGGAAATCCCTGGGTTCAATCTCCAGTATCACAAAAACCCAAAACAAAACAGTAAGACACACAGGGGCTGGAGATAAAGCTCAGTGGCGGAGTACTTGCCTAGCATTTATAAGGCCTTGGGTTCAATTCTCAGCGCCATAATAAAAAAAAAAGTCTTAAATATAGAACAACACATACTGTTTAAGAGGGTATGGAGAAGAGAAGTAAATATTCTCTACATAGGGGGTGGAAATGCAAATTGGCACGACCCTTCTGAAGGAGAAACTGGCAACAGCTATCAAAACTACATATTCTCTCTCTTGGGTTTTCGCCCAACAATCCCACTTCTAGGGATCTACCCTGAAAATATACCTCACCAATACTAATAATATGCCCCAGGCAAGTCCCTATTGCTGTGTTTGTGGCTTTGAAATACTGAAAACATGTTCATGCGCACACACAGAATGGCTGGACCAGCTATGGAACATCCATACGATGGAGAGTCTACCAGAAAGCTATTAAAAGGAAAACAAGGGCACCAGCTCTTTGAACTGGTATGGAGTAAATGCAAAACTGTGCTGTCCTCGGGCCAGGGATGTAGCTCAGCAGGCACAGCACCTGCCTGGCAAGGATAAGGTCAATCCCTGGTACTAGAAAAAAAAAGAAAAAGAAAAAAGTATGCTGGTCCTTCCCGTATAAAAGAGATAAAAGCTACACGAGAAGGACTGGGGAATTAGCTCAGTGGCACCATGCCTGCCTTACAAGGGTAAGGTCCTAAATTCAATCCCCAGTACTGAAAAACAACAAGAAAACACAAGAAGAAGAAATGTAGGAGATAAACCAGAAACCAGGGAATTGGTAAGTAAACACTGGATAAAAAAGAGAATGAGAATGCATAGCAAGGATGAGAGGGAATGAAAGTTTTTGTACAATTCTGACCTTAAAGATTACAGTAATGTTTCACATACTTCCCCTTACACACACACACACACACACACACACACACACACACACACACACACACACACGGGGCAAGTACACCCAAAATGGCATCAAACACCAATAAATGAACCTAACTGAACATAGCCACACTGACAGAGGTGAGGAGGGAAAGAACTTATCTGAAGGAACAGTGTCTTGGCTGGACACTGCCAGGCTGAGGTCAACATGAGCTTTATAGAAATCCCATAGACTGATCAGTAAATGATTCCCACGAGAGCTGTATTCTTTCCTGAGTCTCTGTGTATGTTTATGTATATGTGCATGTGTGTGTATGCATGCATGTGTGTGGTACAGAGACAGCCCCGGGCCTCACCTCACGCATACCAGGTGAGCACAGTACTCCTGAACTTCACTCCAGCCCCACCCCTCCTTTAAAGTACATCCTTATTGTCTGGCATCACAGAACGTATTTTCTCAATCTACTTTCTATGCATATTAGAAATAAACAAATAAGGCCTGGCATGGTAGTGCATGCCTGTAATCTCAGCACTTGAGAGGCTGAGGCAGGAGGATCACTGCAAATTCAAGGTCACTCTGTACCATAGTGAGTTAGCACTTGGGAGGCTGAGGCAGGAGGATCACTGCAATCAAGGCCAGTCTGGGCCACATAGGGAGTTCAAGGCCAACCTGAACTACATAGCAAGACCTCATCCCCAAAAAACAAAAACCAAAACAAAAAAAGATTCGCGCAAGTCTCACAGGATTAGATTAGTTCTGAAGTGAATGAGTGATTACTGGCCAAGGACCGTTGCCTTGGCCCCTTCTCTGGCTGCTTCCTGCCTCCCTGTGACACTGCATCTCCTATGCCCCACCACACTGCCATCTACCATCTGTGATGTGGCCATAAAGCCCTCACCAGAGCCGAGCAGGTATCTGTGCCACTCAATCGGACCTCCAAAACTGTCAGCGAAACACAGTAACCACACCAAATGAAGACAATACCCAATGCCCAGATCTTAACTTCTAAATACCACTTTTCAATTAGAAAAATTCAGCCTTTCATGAAAAATTAGCAATTACTAGGCCAGGGCATGAATATCTTGAGATGCTACAAAGTACTTTTTAAAAAATGAGGCATAACAAATGGGGCTTACAAAATAAAATAAACATCTATGCGTCCCTACTGATATAAATAATCAAATAAAGGGAGAAGGAAAAGAAAAATAGAAAATCATAAAGCAAATATCAAAGTAATAATTGCTTCAAGCACGATCCACTGATGAATGCTGAATCAGTGAATAAAACTTTATGGAGAAACAGTATACCTGTATAGTCTCAAAGTATTTTCCTCAAAATATTTACTAACTATAAAAGGAAATATTGTAGATGGCTAAGCTAATTACACACATTGTAGGCAGTTAGATTGGGCCCTCAGGGAGTCAATACAAAAGACAACTGAGGCCCATCTACTCAAGGCCAAGACTCAAAAAGAAAAAATACTACACTCACATACTTGCCCTAGAGATGAACAGCAGTGATTGATATTCTAAATAGACATCAGTCACTGTAAGTGGGGACCAAAACCTCCCTAGCCCATTTACTTTCTGGTTCAGTTCACATATGCTTGCTGTGTGACTAGCTTCCCCATTTAATCTATATTACCTAAGCAACTATACTTGTTGTAATCTTATTGGCTGATCATAGTTTTGTCCCACCTTGTGATTTCCCATTGGATCCATATTACCTAAGTGACTATAATTGGACCTCAAGCTTGCCAGGCAGGTGAGGCACCACTGAGCTAAAATCCCCAGTCCTAGAAGTATTTTATTTTATTTATTTTTTTTTATTTTTGGTACTGGGGATCGAACTCGGGTCCTTGCGCTTACGCAGCAAGCGGCGAAACCACTGAGCTAAATCCCCAGCCCTTTAGAAGTATTTTAGATTTCGAAACTTTTTGGATTTTGGAATACTGGTATAGACTTCACTTGGGCGCGCACCCTAATTCAAAAATCCTAAATCTAAAAGGCTCTGAAATCTCAAATTTTTCTTTTTGTGTGGTACTAGAGATGGAACCCAGGGCCTTCACATTGAGCTGCAATCCCAGCACTTTTTAAATTTTGAGACAGGGTCTGACTAAGTTGCCCAGGCTGGGCTTGAACTCACAATCTTTCTGCCTCAGCTGCCCTGAGTGCTGGGATTATAGGTAAGCGCCACTATGAAATCTAAAACCTTTTGGGCATCATTGTGGCACTCAAAAGGATTTGGATTTCAGAGCATTTCAGATTTTCAGACTGGGGATGCTTAACCAATGTAATAGTATTTATCAACGTTAATTTCCTAGTTTTGATGAACTGTATTATGATTATATAAAATGTTATCATTAGGAGAAACTTGATACTAAGTCTCTGGATGTATCATTTTTATAACTTTCCTGTAAGTCTTAAAAAACATACACATGGGCCGGGGATTTAGCTCAGTGGTTTCGCCGCCTGCCTAGCAAGCTCAAGGACCCGACTTCGATCCCCAGTACCAAAAAAAAAACCCCATACATATATGTATAAAATGGCTTAAGATTTACAAGAAAAATAGAGATGGAAATGATCTCTTGCACAGCCTGGCTAAGGCTAGCTGTCAGGTTTGGCAGTAGTGACAGACTGAGATGTATGTGTAATCCTAGGGCACAAAGATGATGAGGGCAGCTCAAAGTCACCTGGGTTACTTGCATACCTCGATCATGCAAGGCCAACAAAACCCGTTCATACAAGCAGGCTCTATAGAGGTCTCCAGGAATGGGCTTTCCTGCCCAGCAGTCAAGTTCAAGCTTCTCAGGGTCAGGGGCATGTGGATCAGGCTCAGCAAGAATGTATCGATAGCCATCTTTGTTGAATGGGTGTTCCAAGGGGTAGCCGTGAGGGGGAAGACGCTGAGCAGAAAACAAAGGGTCACTGCAGAGAGAAAAAAGGAAAATCAAGTAATTAAAACTCCCTCTGGCTCAACCACATTCTATTGTGTAAGGCCTCTGATTTATTAGAGTTCAGCAGGAACACATACAACTTTCCCTTCTTTTTTTTTTTTTTTTTGGCACCAGGGATTGAACTCAGGTCCTTGTGCTTGTGCAGCAGGTGGAGAAACCACTGAGCAAATCCCTGGCCCCACACGCAACTTCTTAACAAATGTTTTCCGTAACTCAGACCATCCTGCCCTCTGCAGGCAAGACAGGAAAATGAACGAGATTAAGCTTTCCTGGCAAAGCAGTTTGGGTTAAAATTCGTTTTTGTAGGGATTGACAAGTTATTTGCCAGGGACAGACCACACCTATGGATACTGCTGTCCATGAAATGGAGCTGGTACATACTAAAGGGGAAAGGGAGGAGAGGAATAAAGGTAGTTAGGGTGCTTTCCTAACTAATAAGCAGAAGCTTAAAAATAGGAGCACTTCAGTTTAAGTAAAAAAGTAACCTGGATTTCATCACCTCAGTATGAAACAAAGATAATGGAAGTAGCCCAAGAGAAGAGAGGCAGAAAGTTAAAGAGGCAGGCACATGGCTGTGGTGGCATATGCCTGTAATTCCAGCACTCAGGAGGCTGATTGCCTAGAGTTCTAGGCCAGCCTGAACTGCATAGTGAGACCCTCTCTTTCAAAAAAAAAAAAGTTAAAGAGCTAATATTCAGTAGGCTTTGCTGCCTTCTGCCCTATCTATCCTTTCTCAGAATGCCTTGGAACTTCACTCTCCAGGGTTATACAAAAGATGCTGGTCTAGGGTCCTTTGGCAGCATCAAGTTCATAAACTTGGACATCGAGCCTGGGATAATTTTGCCCCCTAAAGTACTCATGAGCTGGGCATGGTGGCACACGCCTGTAATCTCAGTACTCAGCAGGCTGAAGCAGGAGGATTGTCATGAGTTCAAGGCCTATCTGGGCTATATAATGAGACCCTGACTCAAGAAACAAACAAAAACAAAACCAAAAAAAACAGAAAGGGAGGGAGGGGAGGCTTTGTAGCTTCAGAAACTAGAGCAGTGAAGGCAAACCTTTTAGAACTTTCAATGATAACAAACAGCCCATTGTGGCACGTGTGCCATAGGTTCATCACCACTGCACCAGAGCTACTAAAGATGCTACATTTGATCTTAGCCAAAAGGCTGAGAAGCGATAAGAGCTACTAAAGAATATGTTCCCTTCCAGTGGACTTTGCTGGTACCAAATATGAAAATAGTGGTAGGTGGGGTGGGTGTTCTCCCCACCTCCGGGCCTTCTTGGTGGTTCCTGTGGTCCCTCCATCTTGCTGTTTGCGTTTAGCTCCTCTTCCTTTCCCACTGCTTCCTGCTGTGATTCCTCCTTTTAAGAGAAGGTGGATGACTTTCAATGAACTGTGATAAAAGCACCTTGTGGACACTGAGATTCTGTAAGGACTCACATACCCAACGTGCATTTGTGTGACACCACAGCAGGAATTCCTTCCCAAAGGCATCAAATGTCACCCTGGCTCTGAGAGCATGGGATCCAGCAGCAGGTGCAAATGAAGCTAGCAGTATCAACAGCTGTGCTAGTTTCAGCTTTCCTTTCCTCAGGAAGCACAACCACTTACTGAGGATGTGACACAAATGCATTTGCACTCATTCAGACTCCAAGCACACACAGCTGAAAGAAGAAAACAACTGCGTGGAGATGGGCTTTCCCACCCAAGTCAAACAAACACCCGTAATGGAAATAACCTCACTGTAGGTCATCACTTGCTTGAACTGCACAGTATAGTCCATAAACATAATAAAGGCACAATATCTGCTAAAGCACTTAACTTGAAGATCCAACAAGACAAAAGTACATCAAACATGGAAAACAAAAACAGAAGTACTAAAAAAGGTGTTTCTCTCCAGTGCTGCTACATCCATCATGGTCATACATGATGCAAGTAAGGAAGGCTTTAAATTCAGCAGGCAAATTTTTACTGGATATGCATTCCTCAGTACAACACTTACTAAGAGTGCGCCAGTACATCAAATTCAAGTTACACTAATCTGGCCTGTGGAATTAAGGTCAAAATAATATCAACAGATAATTTAAATATTTTATATAAAACAATTTAGTTACATACTGAGGCCAAAAGAAATAGTACCTTGTATATTTCTGAAATAGGCACTTTCAAATTTTTGTCCAGTTTTATTACTCATCTCTATTTTTTACCCCTCTGAGAAATCATCCTTGAACTGCAGGAAAACACCTTTACGTAAACAACTGCATAGAATAGTATATGTCAATGTGGGCCAAGCTTGGAAATCATCAGCAATTCTGCTGCAATAAGAAGGATCCAGACATTGAGGGTAGGTCATATTCTGCATACACAGGACCAGAATTTTACAGAATTTCTTTCTATGAACACATCACATGTTATTCCTGTTTCTCATAAGACTTTACATTGTTGCAATGTCATTATCAATCATGAAAATTATTTCATTTTTGGGGGGTGATGTTGGGGATCAAACCCAGGACCTTACCAGATGCTAGGCAAGCACTCTTATCACCAAGGTATATATTCCTAGACTTCATTAAGTTTTTTTTTTTCCTGTTATTTCCATTTAGAAGTTTTAGATCCATCTTCAACAGAACAAACAGTACTAAGGAGACTGCTGGTCATGTTAGGCAGAATATGACAACACATAAGCTTTTAATTACTAACATTAAACTGGAACTACCATTTCATAGTAAATGCTATTGCCACCGCTGTCACAATGCTTTAAAATTATATAGTTTTAGCTTCTACCACAACTCAGCAAAAAGCATTTTCCAAGCCACAAAATACTTAAGTCTGAGAGGCTGAAAGAAGACAGAGGAGGAATTCACCTCCAAAAGTGGCTCCACCTGTAAGAACAGAAGTGGCACCATGTATTTGTCAAATTGTAACAATCAAACAGGGAAAACATGGTGTAAAAAGACAAATAATACACTTAACTATTTCTAACCCATCTTGAATTAACTGTGGAAAAGACGAAATATTTAAGATGCTCCCACTTCACAAGATATGTCAATGATGCCGTGTGCCAAATGAACTGCTACCCACCTCCCAGCCACCCTGAGCTCTCATTAAATTACCATCACTAGTGAGTAGCATTTCCCGTTGGATGGGTTACCAAACAGAAAAGCCACAGCAGATCCATACAGAAACGTTCAAGTATCAGGGCAAGAAAAATTAGAAGATGGACCCAGGAAGCTTAAGTAACAGCTGAATTAGAAAGAGTGGAGAGCAACTGAATCTTTCTGAATTTGTTATAAAGATATGAGTGGGAAGTCTAATATAAACATTGTAAATCTAACCATAAATTGTACCTTGTATTTATACTTTCACTTAAGACCAAATTGTGTTGCAAAGTGACAAAAGTTCTCCTCCATTACCATCTGCCAAATTCTTGGCTAACTCCTAAAAACTGAGTTTTAAACTTTAAAACATTAGTAAATAGCCAAGTTAAGGGACCACCTAAAGAATGCTCAATTCCAGGCACATATGGTTTCAACAGCTTAAAAATATTTCAGCAATTAGACGTGTGAACACTTACCATTTAGATTCCCACTGGTAGATACAGCACTGCTTTGTTTTTGGTTGTCATAAGCAGGACCAATGTTACTAAGATCCTGGAAGGAAAAAAAAAATCTAAGTAAAAAAAGGAGGCTAAACTGGGTGTGCAGGCCCATGCTTGTGATCCCAGCACTCTGGGAGGCTGAGGCAAGAGGGTTGCAAGTTAAGTCCAGCCTATGCAATTCAGCAAGATCCTATCTGAAAAAAAAAGCTGGGCGGTAGCTCAGAATGAAGGCCCTGGGTTCAATTCCTACCACAGCAAAGGGTGGGGGGAGAGGCTACATAAACAGGTTAATCTGGCAGCACTGAAAATAGGAGGAATTTTAACTACATAGGAACTAAATCCTAAAGAGCCTGAAATTTGCAGCAGTCTTGGGTGGTTCAGGAGCAGCTAGCACGTGCACTGCAGGCCAAGTGGTTGACGAATGGAAATCAGCCAACCAAGCAGGCGGCAGGTGCATGGTAAATGGGAGTGCCTAAGCCCCACTGATGCAGCTCCCAGTGGAACTCTGGCCTAGTGTGGACAGATCACATTTTACAAGAGGCAGAAATCTGAATTTCTGTGGGAAATCTCAAATTTTCAAAGATGACAAATCAGCCTGCAATCCCAGCCACTTGGGAGGCTGAGGCAGAGAATCACTTAGGAACAGGAGCTTGAGGCCAGCCTGGGCTACATAGTGAGACCCTGTCTCAAAAAAATCAAATCTAACACTTTAAGGCACAGCTGAAGGATCTGACTCTTTTTTTTTGTGGTACACTGAGCTAAATCTCCAGTACTTTTTAAAAAATTTAATGTTGAGACAGGGTCTCACTAAATCACTAAGTTGCCCAGGCTGGATTCAAACTTGTGATCCTCCTGCCTCAGCCTCCCACAGTTTTGCTCCACCATGCCTGGCTGGAGCTGACCTTCTCAGTTGCCAACTGTGAGCCCTGCCACTGAACAAGAGTGGAAATTTTCTTTTTCTTGTTATGCTACATAAGCAACACAAATTGTTCTCCCCAATAATTTTGTCTTCACAAGAACATTTTTAAGAGCAAAATTTGAGACGGCAGGAAGATTAGAAATAATTTAGAACCATGTATTTATACAAGTAAGAAAACTAATATTAAAAAAAAAAATCACTTGCAAAAATCCTTAACATTTTGGGGAAGAGCCAGAACTAAAACACTAGCTTCCTACTTCAATATATTCTTTCCACACACATTAATAAACTTTTTTTGGGCCAGGGATTTAGCTTAGTGGTTCCGCTGCCCGCCTTGAAAGCGGAAGGACCCGAGTTCAATTCCGGGTACCAAAAAAAAAAAAGCTTTTTTAAAATTTGCAGTACAAGGGGATTGAACTCAGGACCTTGTGTTTGCAAGGCAGGTGCGGTGCCACTGAATTAAATCCCCAGCCCAATAAGCATTTATTTTTAGTTCACCATGTCGTGTTGGCAATTATGCAAATGTAAACAAAATCTAATATCTTATCAAGTGGCTTAAAGTGAAAAAGAAAATATGAAGCATATTAATGTACCTGATCCAAAAGCCCAAATTTGGGGTAATCTTCTTCAGGGTCTTTGCTCCCTGGATCAGGGTGCTCCTTTACCAAGAACACATCTCTTTCTTTACTCTAAAAGGAAACAGGATCTTAGCAGTCTTTTTTTTTTTGGTGCCAGGGATTGAACTTGGGTCCTTGCGCTTGTGCAGCAGGCAGTGAAACCACTGAGCTAAATCCCTGGCCCCAGCATCTTAGAATTAATGGAAATCTCCCTCCCTCCCCGTATCAGGAATCAAACTCAGGACCTTATGCTTGCCAGGCAGGTGAGGTACCACTGAGCTAAATGCCTGGCCCTATTAATGGAAATCTTACACTCAGAAGTAAAGAACAGATAGATGATCAACCACTAACTCTAAAAGTCAATTCTTCAGTGTAATCTCCAAAGACAGTGTTAATTTCCCTTTCATTAGAAAATTAATACATGACTATTACGGTCTATATCTAGATGTTCACCCAAAGGCTCATGCACTCATGGGGAACTTTTGGAAGGTGACTGGATCATGGGTGTGTGATCTTCATTCTTGGACAGGATCAGTCCAAGAATCAGTCCATGGATGGGTTTATACCTGGGTGTAATGTTGGGAGGTGAAGCTCGGTGGAAAGAGGTGGGTCACTGTGGGCATGGCCTGGCAAGGTATAAATCCCTCCCCTTCCCTTGAACTCCTCATTGCTTTCTGCCTGTCATGCCATGAGCTATTTCTCCTCTGCAATGCCACCCTGCATTGGAGCCAGCCAAAACCTGGCTACAGTTTGGCTACAAACTGTAAGCCAAAATAAATCTTTCTTTCTTTACCTGTTAGGTATTTTGCATCCCAATGACAAGAAAGTGACTAAAACAAAAGAGAAACAAAGAGAAGCAGCCTTTCATAACCCTCACCTATCCTCCCACCCCACAGATTAGCACTAATAGCTGGCTGTTGACTTCTCCCCATGTTCTCATTTGTTTTATTTTTTGTCTGCTGCTTTAAGATAGTCTCTCTACATAGTTCAGGCTGGCATTTGAACTCACTATGTAGCCTAGGTTGGTCTTGAACTTGAAGCAATATCTTGCCTCAGCTTTTGAAATGCTGAGATTATAGGCCTGTGCCACAATGCCTGCTTCTCATTTGTTTTAAATCAAAGAAAAAAACATTTTTTTTTGAGACAGGGTCTTACTATATAGCTCAGGCCAGACTTGCACTCACTATGTAGTCCAGGCTGGCCTTGAACTCACAGAAATCCTCATGTCTCAGCCTCCTGAGTGCTGGGATTAGAGGTGTGCACACCATGCCTGGTTTGTTTTGTTTTAATGTATAAACTTTACTTGTGGTTCTGAGAATTGAACCCATAGCCTTGCATCTGCTAAGCTTGCATTCTAACGATGAGCTACATCCCTCCCTGGCCTCCAATTTCAATGCAAAGTGCAGTGGTCAGAAGTTTCTGTGCATGAAACTGTGGGTGTGAATGGTGTGCACTTAAAAATGATAAACATGGGCTGGGGATTTAGCTCAGTGGTTCCAGCACCTGTCTTGCAAGAGCAAGGTCCCTGAGTTCAATCCCCGGTACAAAAAAAAAAAAAAAAAAAAAGATATGCAACTCACTGAATTTGTGTGTGAAAACTATTAAACTTGTATCTCATACTCCCAGAGATTTAAATCAAATTATTTACATTTTCTTAGTCATCACATTATTTCAACACTGAGACTAAACAGCATTTAATTATTAAAGAGAACACTGCTTTCTAAATGTCATGTCTACTTACCATTGTTTTGACAATGTTATTTGGCCAAGTCATCTTTCCAGGTCTCTGTCTGGTTGTCATGCACTCCCAGTATTTATCAATAAAGGGTATAATATCCTAAAAAAAAAGGGGTGTGTGTGTGTAATATCCTAATGTTTAAAATAAAATATATTAAGACTCATACTTATTTTCAAAGGTTTGGTCACAAAGAAAGAAAACTGGCATTTTCATAGGCCTTGTTAGAATCAAAGGAAAAATCCATGTTTAGTCTTTTAATCACTTGAACAAATACTTAATGGCTTAGAAAGAGATTATGGAAATTACAAACAATTATATAAAAATTTTAGCTATTCAGTTTATAATCCAATTGGAGGGAAAAGATGTCACATCCTTTTGGTTGTCAACTGGAAGATGACTCCTAATTATCATCTCCTGAGATAATTATTTTTACCTACTTGAGACATTTCCTTGTAGACATCCTACAGGTACCTTAAACCTGTTTTTCCTTTGGTGGTATCAGGGATTAAATTCAGTGTTTACACCCTGAACTATATCCCCAGCACTCTGGGAGGCTGAGGCAGGAGAACCTCAAGTCTGACCACAGCTTGGGCAATTTAATAACTTGGCAAGTCCCTGTCTCAGAATAAAAAATAAAAAGGGTTGGGTACATAGGTCAGTGGTAGAGCACCCCTGGGTTCAAGTTCCAGTACTGAAAAGAAAGAAAGAAAGAAAGAAAGAAAGAAAGAGGCAAAAACAAAATAATGCAATCTTGTGGTGACCATGAGCTATATGAGGCTGCAGCTGATATAACATAACTTACTGTTTTACAGTAAACTTTCTTAGGAGTACAGTCTAAAAGAATGCTAAAGAGCAAAGCGAACACCTAAATTGGCAACTCATCTGTGATGGAGTACTAAATGCCACATACAGTGTTTGTGCTGTCCTTTCCCATGGCTGGCAGTGCGTGTGAGCACCACTCTGCACTCCTGTCAGTGGTGGCTATAACGCTGCTGAGCAACAGAAACCTTCAGCTCTTTTAGGATTTGGGATCACTGCTGTACATGCAATCTGCTACTGACCAAAATGTCACTATGCAACACATGCCTTACATCATAGTGAGTTCAAGGACAGCCTGAGCAACTTAGCAAGACCTTGTCTCAACATAAAAGATAAGAGGAATGGGGGTGCCGCTCAATGGTACAGGGTTGTCTAGTATGTGCAAGTACCCCTCCCCTCCCCAAGTATATTGGATGTTCCACCTGATTCTTTTTTTTTTGGAGACAGGGTCTTGCTATTCAGTCCAGGCTTGGATTGAACCCACTATGGAGCCCAGGCTGGCCTCAAACTTGTGGCAATTCTCTTGCCTCAGCCTCCCAAGAGCTGTGATTATAGGTATGTACCACCACACCTGGCTTTCCACCTGATTGTTTCTCATAATTGCAATTAAGTTAATTCCATCTCTACCTTGTCTTTGGAAAACATGGTTTTTGGATGTTCATCCTGTGTTCGGGACTGCCACGTCAGGTTGGCCAAAGCACTAAGGCACATTTCCTTCAAGTCTGTCAAAAACAAAAAGAAAAAAGTTTTATCTATGATTACTACATTTCTATCACCAAGGGAATATTCAACACAAGATAGCCCACAAAATACCAAGCAGCACAGCCAAAGTGGAGTCATATTTGATCTGGAATGGCAATTGCAACTCAACTTCTATCAGCTATGAAGCAAAGGTCTTCTGAGTCTAACCTCAGGTCCCTTTTCTTTTTCAGTGGACAATTATTTTGAAATATGGCAGAGTTGTTCTTACTTGCTTGCTTTCGGAGGAAATAGGTATTCCCACTATGATGGCATATATTGCAATGAAAACTGTAGTTGGTCATGAAAGGTAGACAGGATCTGTGGATCAGCCAAAGTGTACAAATCAGTGAACTTGATACACACTTCATTACAGACACTAATCAACAGCCACAGTTATTTATTTATTTATTTATTGGTACCGGGGATCAAATAGCCAGTTATTTTAATTCAAATACAATATGAATACAAAATGAAAAGAGCAGCTTCTTTCCTACCCTGCTAGCTCACATTCTCTCAGCCATAAAGATAATTCATCCCTCATTTGGGAAATCAAGGTTATTCTTGCCATTCGTTCTTTAAAGGCCCCAATGCGCTGTGTGATGAGCCTGTAGTAGAACATTGTAAGCTACCCACAAAAACTATGCATCCATCACCAGATGATCTAACTGCTTGTCTTTATCTTAAAGGGTACCGTTTCTTCCCCTATTCCAATATAATGTCAAAAGTCCCTTTCAAGTACAGGTGTTAGCCAATCTTTACAAGTTTTTTAATTTTACTGGGAAGGACTGTTCCTAGCTACTCCAGGACACTGAACATTATGTCAGCCTTCAAACTACACCTGGCTGTCCTAAGAACTGAGATGGGTGGGCCGCAGAACCACCATGATCTGATAATTGCTCCTGGGATGATGCTTCTAGACTCCCTCTTTGTGTTAAAATCAAATATAAAAGTCTCAGCCCTGATGGCACAGCCCTCTCTTGGACTTGCTTGCTGCAGTATTGCCGTGCATCAACAAGCTCTCAACTCTTCTACATTCCTTGAGTATTGGTAATTTCTCTTTCCCACTCGTGGTACTGGCCTCCCACAGCACCATGTAGCTGGGCTTCCAGTGTGATTTCTCAAATTCAGGTACAAGCTGGTCTCTCAAAAGCTGCCCAAATTCTGAACTGTAGCTTAGTTTGTCCCTGAATTGCCCTTGGCTATCTCTGGTAAATTTCCATTCCTAAACTGTCTATCCAAATACATTTTTCTTGCTAAAGTGGTTCAATTTTAGGCCTTACTTAGCCAGTGTGTTTTCCCCACAGACCTTTTTACCAAGACCAATTCTTTCTTCCTGAACCCTCAGTATTTTTCTTCCCCTTAAACACTCTTTCCCAGGTCATCAGTCATGTGTTAATTGGTACATCAGCATTTCTAAAATCTACTTTAACTTTTTAACAAGTTTAACAAATATAAAAAATAAATCATAAAGGAGCCTGTAATCCCAGCACTAGGAGGCTGAGGCAGGATTCCCACAAGATTGAGGCCAGCTTGGGCCTACATAGTGAGTTCAAGGCTAGCCTGAACCTCACAGTGAGACCCTGTCTCAAAAAAACCAATCAACCCATCAATCAATCAATAAGGAAGATATGTCTTTATTACCATACTTAAGGGCAATTAATTTCAGAATAAAGCAGCCTTATTTTGAGATAAGCCATTCCTCCTTAAAAAATATATTAGGATAATATGGACCATAAAGAACATTAGAGGGCCGGGGATTTAGCTCAGTGGCTTCACTGCCTGCTGCGCAAGCGCAAGGACCCGAGTTCGATCCCCGGTACCAAAAAAAAAAGAACATTACAGAGCCAGCGGAATAGTTCTGTCACAGAGAGGGAGTCAGTAATGCTCACCTGCTAGCTGCTGGGAAGATCCCCAGAATAAGAAGTTTTTCATTTTCACTCCTAATTATGATTTTTAAGTCACTAGAAGAAATGCCATGTTTAGAAATAAGTTTTGCTGGGCCGGGGAACAGTGGCACCACACCTGCCTCAAAAGCACAAGGTCCTGAGTTCAATCGCCGGTACAAAAAAAAAAAAGTTTTGCTGAGGAGAACACAGGATAAAAGTCAAAAGCAATGAGAAAGGAAAAAAAAGGATGACTCAGGCATGAAGAGCACAGGTCATCTTCAATTTTTTTTCAGTGCTGGAGACTGAACCTGAAGCCTTGCACATGATCAGTATTGCTCTTCTACCAAGCTACACCCCAGATGCTCAAATTTCAGCAAGAGGCTTTCTCCATCACACACATCAAATCCCTCCTTAAAAATCCAAAATGCCTAATACAAAGCTTAAATGATACCATCTCAAATTTGTTTATATAATGCTTTCTAGTTGCACAGTTCTATTTCCCAACCAGGTCACAAGCTCTAAGGAGAGGCAATACCCACCATTGATACTATTAATGCTATTCCCATAGTAAATAGAAAACAGGTTAAGGCAGTAATGGCGAACCTTTTAGAGCTTTTAATGATACAACAGCTTGCTGCTGCGGTAAGATTCACCATCACTGGAGTTAAAACAATTCCTTAGTCTACTAGACACACAGGAAGCAGGAGACTTCTTTTGCTTACAAACCATCCAATTGTTAAACATGCTCTGATTGATTTTAGAATCCAATTCTTATAAAAGTACTCACGAGGTATCTATGCCAAAGGTATCTGCTGTGAACCACTTTGTGCATATCCCACACTGCAATTCTACCTCTCCCAACTGTCGGCCATTCTCTTCATCCACAGAACCAGCTTGAGTATCCATTGCCTCTGAAGTATCCCCTGCACCTTCCTGTGACCAAGAGCAATTAGAGAACCAAATATAATGCATTTTTCATTTGGTTAAGAACAGGCTGAAGATGTAGCTCAGTGGTATAGCATTTGCACAGCATGCACAAAGCCCTGGGTTCAGCTCCCTGCACTGGAAAAATAAATTTAAAAAGCAAATTAGAGACAGAAGGGAAAGGGGGTGAAAAAAAGTTATGCACATGTACCAACTTCCCACAAGGAATATAAACATTATGTACTACACACATAGTAATAAACTAAAATAAAAATAAAATAAAAAGCAAATTAGCAGGAGAGCTGGGTGTGGTGGTTGGTACATGCCTGTAGTCCCAGCACCAGGGAGGCTGAGGCAATAGGATCACCATGAGTTCAAGGCCAGCCTGAACTACATGGCAAAACTTTGTCTCAAAAAACAAAACAAGGGGGCTGGGGATTTAGCTCAGTGGTTTCGCCGCCTGCTGTGCAAGCGCAAGGACCCGAGTTCGATCTCCGGTATCAAAAAAAAAAGGGGGGGGGGCGGGGCCCGGGGATTTAGCTCAGTGGCACCGAGCCTGCCTCACAAGTGCAAGGTCCAGAGTTCGGTCCCTGGAACCAAAACAAAACAAAATATTATCTGGGCATGGTGGAGCACACCTGTAATCCCAGCACTCGGGAGGCTGAGGAGGAGGACCACCACTAGGTTGAGGCCAGCCTGTGCTACACTGTGAGTTCAAGGCCAACCTGGACTACCTAGGAACATCCTGTCTCAAACAAAGAGAAAACATAAAAAGCAAATAAAACCTGGCACAGTGGCACAAGCTGTGATCCAGCACCAAGGGAGGCTGAGGCAAGAAGATTGGCAAGTTCAAGTCCCACCTAAGTTTGTGTCCAAAAAACCCCTGAGGCTATAGCTCAGTTCTACAGCGCCCCAGTATTTAGTTTCCAATACTGTAAATATATAAGTACATAAATATAAAATACAATATTTTCCTTTGCAAACATCCAAAAAGAAATACTTACTAGTGTCTCTTTTCCATTAGAGGATTCTGTCTCCAAACCGCCACTTACATCAACCAAGTTTGCATCCCTGTAAGGTAATGAAAGTACTCAAGTAAGAATGTTTAAGAAAAACCTCAAAATGTCAACTTGCAAAGATGATGGTCAAATACAGCTGAACTTCACATTCCTAAGGCTTTTTCAGCTGGGCCGGCTCCAAAAATGGATGTCAGAGCAAGAAGAGTGAGGTACCAGCTCCGTACCAGATGCAAGAGCCACAGATAGAAACAGTAGCTGGGCTCGCACCTCTCCAAAAAGATAGGGGAAGGGGCGTGGCCTGCGTTGCAGTTCAGAAAAACGCGCCAAGCGCGATGGGCGGACGGAGATACGCGGCAGGAGTGCCCGGCGAGCTCAGCAGTTGGCCGCGGGCTGGGTCCCGAAGAGGGGCGGTTGGAACGCGCCGGGGCCGCAGGATTCCAAAGGGCGGGCCTCCCTTCACTGCCCTCCCTAGGCCGCTGTCGTCTTACCTGCTTTCGGCCTCCCCAGAACTGGGCTCCGCAGGCGTCGGCGCAGTAGATGCCCCCTCTCCGGCCGGAGCGGCTGCTATCGCTGCCACCGGTTTCGTCTCCCCGTCTTCCGCCGTTATTGCATTTGCGGCCGCTCCTGAACCAGGTCCTGCACCCGCTCCAGAGCCAAGGCCGGTTCCCGCCGCCGCCATCACGGCCGCCTCCCAGAAGTCTCGCGAGAATACAACCTCTTGTCTCGCGCGCGTTGCTGGCTGGTGTTGTACTCTTCAAGTAGTAAAGGCCTCTGATGGACCCGCCCCTGGTTTGAGGAATATGCTTCATAACGCCCCGCTTTAAACCGGTTGGGCGCGTCGCGGCCACGGAGACGACCAAAGGCTACGCCTGGTGAAGACTGTTAGTTGGGTTTCCTTTAGGATTCGCTACCCTCTTGGATGAATGCTGCCTAGTTTTGTGGCTAAGATCGCGCATAAGAGGCGCGGGCTGCGCCTTGACTTTGTATGGTGCGGTTGCCTTACAAACAAACGTTCTTCGCCCTTAAGTGCAAGAAATGTCTTCCAGTCCTCACCACTCGGCCCCTGGTGTAATTTGCCTTGCTGCGGAGGAGTCTGCCGCTTTGGGGCCCTTTCCAAAAGGCCTTTGGAAATGAGAATCTAGAATCTGATTCCAGAGCCCAAATTAGATAGGCGCAGCGGAGAGGGGAGGGGTGGTAAGGGGAGTGTCCAGGCTAGAAGTAGGTGAGAAACGAAGGGTGCGTTTCCTAGCGGCTTATTGTGAAAGGAGGAAAATGAAGCCCCAGAGTCAGGAAACTTGGGGCTGGCGGACTTGAAGTTTTGTACTTAGGAAAAGAAAGAGGCTCCATTAAAGGTAGGATTTGAGAAGTCATCACCAAGAGCTGGTAGGTGAAATCACTGGAGTGAATGGAAGCTTTCGCAACTATGGTCTCCAAATTCGAGGATACAAACCTCTAGGAATTTGGGGGTATTATTTAGATATCAGTGTTTAGAAGATCTTTATTTCTAAAACATTGCCAAAGAATGCACTGTCCTCACAAAAGAAGGGCATGTCTCCAATTCTCCATCTGGAAAACTGGGGCAGCTGACACAATTGGAAATAATATATTTTGATTTCACAATAGGTTTTTAACAAAACTGAAGGAAGGTCTAATAAAATTACCAGACGATAGATGATAGATGTGGATGCTAAATCCTGATATTACTGGGTGATAGTTTAAGGAGAAACGGGATACTTGCTCAAAATGTCTCCCCCAAAATGTTTAATTATTGTGGCAGTTTTAATATGGACAAGTTCTTTTTTTAAAAAATAGAGACATAATATATACACATCATGAGATACATTATGGGCACATTATGATAATTTGATATATGTATAAAATGTGAAGTAATCAAATCCAGGTAATAAGCAGTTATATCTTTTCAAACTTCAATTTTTAAAAAAAGTGGTACTGGGGGTTGAATCTAGGATCTTTGCACTGAGCTATATCTTCAGGCTTTTTAAATTACTTTCTTCATTAAGCTTATTGGTACATTTTAGCTATACAATATATTTACATTCATCATTGGGAACTTGTACCTTTACATGATGTATCTTGGTTCTTATTTTTCAGGCTTTTTAAATTTTGAGATAGGGTCTTACTAAGTCACTAAATTGCCCAGGCTGGGCGTGAATTTGTGATCCTCCTGCCCCAGCCTTCCAGAGTGCTAGGATTGCAGATGTATGCCATGCCAGCTTTATTTATTTATTTTTTTTCAGGGCTGAAGATTGAACCTGAGCCTTGCCTGGTTACACAAGCTACACCCCTGGCTCTAGCTTTAAAGCTCTTCCCATTCCTCCTTCCTGGGAATTGATCCAAGGGTTGTTCTCTCACTGAGCTACTATTTTACAGCTCCACTTTTTTCCTTTATTTTTGAGACGGTCTCACTGTGTTGTTCGGGCTGGTCTTAAATTCACTTTTAGCTCAGCCTGGCCTCAAACTTGCCATCCTTTTGCCTCGGCCTACTGAATAGTTGGGATTACATAGGTGGGTCCCTGTGCTCAGCAACTTTCATCATTTTTATGTCTTGAGAATTTCATAGTCTAGTCATTTTGAAATATATCATAGATTGTTTTAACCAGCAGTTGGCATTTTGTGCTCTAGAAAACCAGAACTAATTTTTCCTCTTTGTTTTGGTACCTCTTACCTCATTTCTTTCTGTGCTTCCTTTTCTCTAACCCTTCCATTCTAGTGACCACTATGACCCTCTGTTCTTTTATGTCATTGACTATTTATTTTCCAGAATCAAGTGAGAACATGTGCTTGTCTTTCTGTGTCTAGCCTATTTTATTTAACATAATTATCTCCAGTTCCATCTGTGTTGCTGCAAATGGCAGGATCTCATTCTTTCTATGGCTGAATAATATTCCATTCTGTGTATTATTTACATTTTCTTTACTCGTTCATCATTGATGGACATCTTGCTTGATCCATGTGTTGGCTACAGTGAATAGATGGGCATGCAAGTATCTTTTTGGTATAACGACTTTATCTTTGAATACATTCTCAGTAGTGGTATTGCTAGATTGTATGGTAGTTATATTTTTAGTTTTTTGTTTTATTTTTGCAGTGCTGAGATGTGAACCCAGGGCCTTGTGCTTGCTAGGCAGATGCTCTACCACTAAACTTCATTCCAGTTTTTTTGTTTTGTTTTTGTTTGTTGTTTGAGACAGGATCTTGGTATATAGACCAGGCTTGTCTTAAACTCACTGTGTAGCCCAGACTGGTTTCCAGCTCATGGTGATCCTCCTGCCTCAGCCTCCCAAGTGCTGGGATTACAGGAATGTGCCACCACGCCTGGCTCCTATTAGTTCTTTTTTTTTTTTTTTTTTTGGTATTAGGGTTCGAACTCGGGACCTTGCATTTTCCAGGCAGGAAATCCCCAGCCCTCCTATTAGTTTTTAAAGGATCTCCATAATGTTTCCATGATGACTATACTTACATTCCCACTAACAGTGTAGAGTTCCCCTGTCTGAATCCTTGCCAGCACTTACGACTTTTGTCTTTTTGATAATAGCCATTCTAACACAATGATATCTCATTGTGGTTTTAGTTTGCATTCCCCTGATGATGATACGGAGCAGTTTTTCATACACTTGTTGACCATTTGTATGTCATCTTTTGAGAAATTTCTGTTCAGAACTTGAGCCCATATTTTAATTGGATTACTTGAGTTTTTGCTGTTCGGTTTTTTAAATTCCTTTATATATTCTGGATTCTAATCCTTTGTTGGCTGAGTAGTTGGCAGATGTTTCCTCCCATTTTATAGCTTGTCTCTTCACTCCAATGATTGTTTCATTTGCTGTGCAGGAGCTTGTTAGTTTGATAGAGTGCAATTTGTCTAGTTTTACTTCTGTTGCCTGTGCCTTCAGGGTCCTATCAAAAAAAATCTTTGAACATGGCACAACTTCTTTGATACTCCTCCTTTCCCTTGCACATGTAGACTGGACTAAGTGACTTTCTTCTAACCAGTAGAATGAGGGAAAGGAAAAGAGTAATTTCTGGCTGTGTGTGGTGCTGGGGATAAAATACAGGGCATCATGCACTCTACCACTGAACTACATCCCCAGACTCCTCTGCCAAATAGTTTTTTTACAGTGTAGAAACTGGCAGACAGACACCATTTTAACCAAATGGTCCAAGTTAACACTGTTAGTAATGTCACATTGACATCACATATTCCCTGATACGATGGCATGAGAAGGCTGTGTCATTTCTGTGGTATTCTCATCATTTCTGTGGTATTCTTCCTGCAGATCCACAACTCCAGATCTAATTGTGGGAAAACATCAATGGACTCCAAATTGACAATCATTCTAAAAAGTATGTATCCAACCTCATAAAACTCCCTGTGAAGATGTAAAATGTGATTGGAGATTGCAAATACATTTTTATGCTTTACTACCAGAAGTGAAGCTCCAAGAAAGCTGAGGTCCATAGACAGCTTGGGACACCATACGCAATGCTCACCTCGCTATGCAGATAAAGACACTGAAACATCCAGAGATCACACAAGCTTTCAGTTACCAAGCGGGACAAGGGCCCTGGCTCAGTGACTCCTAGCATTGTGCCTTTTATTTCTCAAAGCATAATCTTTAGTAGATTAAAATAAAAAATGTATCCAGTACCCTTCAAACTATCAAGGCAGGTGTGGTGGCACACACTCGTAATTCTAACTACTTCAAGACCTCTCAAAAATGTAAAAAGGGGGTGGGTGTGTGTGGAGAAGTAACTCAGTGGTAGAGTGCTTGCCTAACATGCACAAGGCGCTGGGCTCTGTCCTCCCTAACACACACATATACACATACACATAGATACTCATATACACACATACACACACATGGTCCCTAGACAAATACTGGCTCTGAAGGAGAGGAGGCACTCTGGAAACAACTACTGGGGAGAAAGCTAATGAAACTTTCTCTCACCAATAAGAGGTCAAAGGTTAAAAATGCAAGAGTCACCTGTAATCCCACCCCTCAGGAGGCAGGGGCAGGAGGATCCCTGAAAATTTGAGGCCAGCCTGGGCTACATAGCGAGATTCTGCCCCCTCCCCCAGGAGAGAGAGTGGTTGATGGAGAAGCTTTCCAAAGAAAGTGTTTGCAGTGAGTGAGTCAGCTGATGAAGGTAGAGAGGTAGACTTGACCTTAAGGAAGGGATCTCTTTCATATCCCCAGACAGGAACAGGGGACCAAGGAAAAATACCAATGGCTGGCAGTGAGAGCCTAGAGAATGCACATATGATGTCATCAATTTTTATCTTCCTTGCTTTGCCTCAATAGCAGTTTGTTATTTAAGTATAATTTTAAGTGCAATTATAACAGTTAGAAGCTGGGCCTGGAGATCTCCAGTGGGTAACTAAAAGGATAAAGCTTGGTGGTGCTCCCCCCACCCTTTGAGGCAGAGTCTTGCTATGTTGTCCAAGCAGACCTTGAACACACAAACCTCCTACCTTACCTTCCTGAGAGCTGAGATTATAAGCATGTACCTTGATGCCAGGCTTTTCCTTTATTTTATATGTCTTCCTTATTACCTTAAAACTTTGGATCAAATGGCAATACAGTGTTTGTTAGATCTAAATTGACCTAACCTATCTCTGTCCCCTTTTAAGACTGAGGACACTGAGATAAGAGTAACAAAGGCATTTGCAAGATTTCTATGGACACGCTCAGTGTAGTGGCATGGGCCTGTAATTCCAGCACTTGGGAGGCTGAGGCAGGAGGATTGATGCAAGTTTGAGGTCAGCCTGGGCTACATAGTGAGTTCAAGCCTGTCCTGAACTACAAAGCAAGACTGTCTTAAATTAAAAAAATGGTCTCTAGGGCCGGGGATTTAGCTCAGTGGTACCTCCGCCTGGTAAGCGCAAGGTCCAGAGTTTGATCCCCGGCACTACAAAAAATTCTCCAGTCATTATTCTATGCCCCAGTCACCTCAGATGATTCCAGGAGAATCAGAGCCTTGAGACCATCTCTTGATGTAGTCACTGTCTTACAGGAGGGTAGTGGTACTCAGCAGATTGATGTAGGTCTGGGGTGCGGCCTGAGATTTGCAGCAGAGAATTTCCTTAGGACCCCTGCAGAGTTTTGGAGGCCAGAAAGGGAGCCAGGGAGTGAGACTAATGATCTTCTTGTGGTCATACCCACTTCCTCCCTGAATGTGGAGGTGGGAGGTGGCTGAGGCACAGGGATTGCCAGCTTGGATCTGGCATGTCCTCCTGAGGTCCCTGTGCTGAAGAGGCTCTGTCACCAGCCCATAGCACTATGGGAAGGGCTGTGGGAGGCCTTTGGCTGGCTGGTCTGCTGGTCTTGTCTCTGACCCTTCCTCTTTTTTTTTGGTACCAGGGATTGAACTCAGGACCTTGTGCTTTCAAGGCACGCAGTGGCACCACTGAGCTAAATCCCTGGCCCAGACCCTTCCTCTTTTGCTTCGCTACTGTGTGTGACTTTGCTTTCCCCTGTGCTCCTGCCAAGATGTGCCTAAGTGGTCATGGAGTAAAACCCTAAAAGTGACCCCCAGTCTCTTTATAATTTATTATCTCGGGTGTCTGCCGCAGTAATGGGAGGCTAACCCGACAGAGCTGAGTGAAAATGAAGCTATACAGTAGAGAAACACATCTGGGAGTTAGCAGAGACCTGAAGTAGGGGAAATTCAAGATTGAGTTTCTTTCATTGAGGGGTAGACGGACTGGGGAAGACAGTTGATGACCTCTTTTTCCCTAACCAAAGGAAGGTCCTGACTGTACTGTAATTGTGTGACTACTACTGAGGGGTTTAAGCTTTCAGGATTCAGTCACACAAAACCTCTGCTGGAGCAGCTATGTCTGCAACATACCAGCCTGTGAGACCTACACACCATAGTCAAGGTTGAGATCCGCAGTCCTGTTTTTTTTTTGTTTTTTTTGGTACCAGGGATTGAACTCGGGACCTTGTGCTTTCGAGACAGGTGGTGGAACTACTGAGCTAAATCCCTGGCCCCAGTAGTCCTTCTTTGGGATGGCCATGCTCAACCCTGAAGAGTATGAAGGAAGCTTCAAGCTCAACAAACAGAAGAAACACCTGGAATCTCCAGGAGGGAGAGGCAGTGGCTGAAGGTTTTGTTTGAGGTAGTAAATAGGACATCCTGTCTACAGAGGAACTATCCATTCATGAGTGAATCGGATTTCCAATTGTATATTGAATACAGCAGAAAATGGCAGTGCCATCTTGTTCCTCTGTGGCTTGAGATCTCCTAACCCAGGGATGAGCTGGAGGAGTACTTTATATATACACACAAAAGTGCTTCCCCCAAGTCTCTCTGCCCTCAGGCAGTGGAATGGCTCCCTGCATAGCAAAGGCAGATCTGGTGTAGGTGCCATTTCTGGAGGAAAAGGGAAAGACCTGTTACTTTTTCCCCAAATCAGACCAGCACCATGAGTGATCCTGAACTTTAGTTCATCAGGCTTAAAGAATATTTGGGTGCCCTGTAGTTACAATAGCACATTGGGGGCTGAAGGTGTAGTTCAGTGGAAGAGCACTTGCCTAGCATGTGTACCATGTGTGAAGCCCTGGGTTCAACCCCTAGCACTATAAAAATAAAAAGTATATTTTAAACCAGGTCTGGTGGTGCACACCTGTAATCCCAGCACTCAGGAGGCAGGAGGATTGTCATGTGTTCAAGGCCAGCCATAACTACACAGTGAGACCACGTTTCATAAAAAAAAGAGGTGGCTCTGTCATGCAATGGATACCACACTGAAAACCAAAAATGAAAACTAAAGGTGTATTTCAAAACTGCTGAAATTTCAAGTGTTCTCACCATAAAAAATGATAAGCATCTGAGGCAATGAAAATGTTAATTGGTTTCATTTAATCATTCTACATTGTATACATAGATCATATCATATACTCCATAAATGTGTACAATTTGTGGATTTATAAAAATTTTTAAAGTTAAAAAATGTGTGTGTCTGTGCTTCTATGTGGGATGTTAGAGCTTTTTAGTATGCTATAGGTGTCCATTGGAAACAACTATGGATGGGCTTCCTGGGTGGTTCTTGTTTTCTGATCTTAGCCAAAAGGCCGAGAAATGATATTTGTTTCTGAGACAAGGTCTTACTATAGAATCCAAGCTGGCCTTGAACTTGCAATCCTCCCTCCTCAGCATGCATAGGTTTTTTTGTTTTGTTTTTTGACAGGGTCTCATATAGTTCAGGCTGGGCTTGAACTCACTATGTAGCCCAGGCCATTCTCAAACTTGCAGCGATCCTCCTGCCTCAGCCTCCTGAGTGCTGGGACTACAGGCGTGCTGCATGTGTAGTTTTAAAACAGCTTAGAAGATGAAACTGTTCCAAGAGTTGGGGAGGTGCTCGAGTAGCTACATCCATATTCGTGATTCCAACCCAAGCCTGAATCCATGCTAGAGGCTCAGGAAGAAGTTTTAGTGGAGACTCCTCCTTTTGTGTACATAGGGCATCTTCTCTTTTCTCCCCAGTGGAATCCAATGAAATAACCATTTCCAGGAAGTATAATGCCTTCCTTCATCCAGCATACACCTCCAGCAGAGGGCAGCACAAAACTGAAAATTATAATGAAACCAATCCTTAGTCCCTCTCCAGATCCTAAGGGACAGGTTAGGGCACTTTACAGAATGCCTTCCTATGCTGTGGCCCATGGGGGCCCTCTTGTCCTCTCGTGGTGGCTTTGGGACACAATCAACACATGACTTGGAAGTATATGAGGTCCAAGCAAACCATCTTTTGGGATGGTGCTTTCTTCCCTCTCACCTGTGGGAAAGTCCTTAGCATCTCATGTTCCTCCTGCAGATGACCACGGGCTTTGTTCTGCTTCCAGAAACGGAAGTGCTTGCTGCCTTGCCTGCGGTGCTGGTTTTTCCACACACGACCAACTGTTTCCAATTAAAAGGACACGCGTCCTCTGCTTAGGGGGGCAGAGAGCCTCACCATGCTAAAGCCTAGACTTTATTTCCAGGAGAGCAGGTCTGACTTCAGCAATAAAAACCAAGAGCATAAACAATCACATGTGACATCAGTCCTTAAAGTCATGTGACATCTACTGGAAGCCTAGCTCCTTGAAGGCAGGGGTTTTTGTCCACTGAACTATCCCTAGTATTAGGTCAGTGCCTGACACACAGGGACTCAATAATGGTCAAAATCTTTTTCATTCCTGGTGGGGTGGGGAGCATTGCTGGCGACTTAACCCAGGGCCTTCACACTGAGATATATTTCTAGACCTTTTTAATTTTTTGAGATAGGGCCTTGCTAAGTTGTTAAATTGCCAAGGCTGGGCTCAAATTTGGCACTTTCTGCCTCAGCCTCCCAAATTCTGGGATTACAGGTGTGTAATCCTCATTCCCCTCAGCTCCAAACCACGAAGCACCCAACAAACACCTGAATGGCCTCTTGGCTCTAGGTCCCTCTTCCCCCTAGTTTGTCTTAAAACCAGTCACTGCCTTATTCTAATGACTCCAACTGTCAAGAGTAGCCCAAAGCTTTGAACTAGATAGGAACCGGAAGTCACTAGCCATGGGCAGGTATAAAACTAAAAATACCTTCTAAATTTGGGGGCTTATAGGTAAGATTGTGATAAAGCTCCACATACACAGAAGACATCCACCAGTGCTTTGTTCCAACAACTGAATTCTAGGCTACCTAAACTTACCATCTACTACCCAAGCCACTAAAGCAAAGCATATACTATATCACATTCAATTTGTTCCAGATGCACCTTTGTTCAGGCACTTTCCTCCCCAGCCTCTACTGGTTATCCCTGCTCTGCTGACCTGTCACATTTATCCTTTTTGCACCTAGTCATGCTTCTTTGGATTATTTGACTTTTTCTCAGCATCTTACAGTTCTCTTGTATTGCCTGAGTCTGGCACCACATTGGGATGAGATGGTTAGTACTTAGCTGTGAAAGAGCACTTGCTGAATTCACTGATGAATCCCACCCTTCCTCAAGTATTGTTTTCAAATAGCACTGGCTGTAGGACTCTTCAGTTGGGCTGTCTGGCCACCTGGAGTTTAGATAGTCACAAAATTCTCCCCATGCCCCACTGTTCACCAGGAACATTCTCCAAGGTTTGAAACCTCTCTTGCCAGTCACTCCCTATAATTCTTCAACCAGCATTTCCTTTCCAATATCTCCTCTGGGTCACTCAGACCAGGAGCTTCCAAGCCTCAGTTCCTAACATAGCCTATTCCCATGTCCTCATCTGGTTAGGCCTCTTCATTCCTGTATGGAAAACTGAATACCAAGATGGCAACTAACCTGCTCTCACAGCCAGTACTGTGCACCAGTCAGGACCCAGGAAGGCCCAGAGTTTGAATTCTTCCAGTCCTATCAAGTGCTGTCTCTGGGAAGGCTCCTCAAATCTCACATTGCTTTACCTTACAGCACTAGTGACACTGCCTCCATTCACTGGATGGTCACATGGGTCTTGCTTGTGACTCTGCTAGGTGACCCTTTGCTGTTCACAGTGCCGTTAACTAGGTTGAAAGCTCCTTGGGGAACAGACACTGTAGCTTCAAACACTGCCTCTCCTGGTTCATGGCCAGTGGCACCCGTCCGACAGTTGTCAATGGGTTCTTCAGATACACAGTGCTTTCGTGACACTAGAAAGCAGAGGCCAAAGCATGATCTCCTGAAATGAGCATCTCCACAAAGTACCACGGCCTGGTACACAGGATGTTAAACTAGACCACAGTGGTCCCATCCAATTTCATCTGCTCCAGAACAGGGGCTGGACTATACATCTTTGCCACTCTGCAGCAACCGGCCAGAGCTGATGTGCAAGGAAAACCTGGATCTTTTAGGGAATACTTTTGCTTGCTAGCAAAGGTGCCTACTTCTGGACAATTTTATTGTGGTCCCCAAAATACCACAGCAGTTCATTTTTTGAAAATCCTTAAACTGATTTAGGGATGTAGGACCTAGAAGAGAACTAGATCTGGTCATGTAAACTGGTGAGTGAGACTTCTACCTGTGGTGGGATGTCAGGAATAAAACGCTTTTGCTGGAAAGCTAAGGGACTAGAAAGCTGACAGATGTCTTTCCTAGTTGGAGGTCATTGCCTTTTTTGTTCTGTGCCAATTCCACCCCCACCTTTCCATGCATAGGAAGAGGGTTGGCCCTTTTACCAGACATGGATTCCAGCTGCCACCCTTGAGTGGAGGGGGCTCTAAGCTACAGAAAGGCCAGGCAAAGGACTCAGCCACTGAAGGTCTGTGGTTTCCCAGTCAGCACCAAGCCCCCCATGCCCAGCATGTCCTTTGAGAAACTGCTGTTTCTCAGCCAAGATTTCTGCCTAATCACCCCCTATTCACAAAACTGCCTGCTCTATTCAGAGTGGGCTGCTGTTTTTTGAGACAGGGTCTCACTATGCAGTCCAGGCTGGCCCCAAACTCAACAATCCTTTGCCTCAGGCTCCAGAGTGCTGGGAGTACAGGTGTGCACCACCATGCCCAGCTTAAAGTGGGCTCCTTGATGCACCATCCTTATACATCTTGGTTCCCCAAGACCACCTGACCACCTAGCACTGGGCACCCACCTCCTCCCACTCATCTTAGCAAAACCTCCAAGAAGCCTCTCCTCCATGGACTTTACACTTATACAGACCACTCACTGGTGCCTAGTCCTATACTTTTTTTTTTTTTTTCTGGAGATCAAACCCGGGGCTTGTTCCCTGCTAGGCACATGCTCTGGCACTGAGCTACATCCCTACATCCCCAGCCCTGTATGATTTTTTATGCTTCTTTTTGGGGGGCAGTACTGGGGATTGAACTCAAGACCTTCACAGTGGGCTATACCTCCAGCCCATTTTGTAATTTTTTTTTGGTATTGGGGATCGAACATGGAACCTTGTGCTTGCGCAGCAGGCACCGGAACCACTGAGCTAAATCCCCGGCCCTCCATCTTGTAATTTTTGTGACAGGCTCTCACTGAGTCAATAAGCGGCCCAAGTTGGGCTTGAATTTATGATTATCCTGCCTCAGCCCCCCAGAGTCCTGGGTTTACAGGCACATGTCACTGTGCCAGGCTTATGTTACCTTTTCTTATCTGACATTTCTACATTTCAAAAAAACACTCCCGGTAGGGAGCTTGTCTCTTTGTGTACCCCATGACAACTCACAGGAAAGGATCCTTTGACAAAGATCAGGTGCACGTGAATCAAGAAAACTATACCAGCCAAGGTGTGGATTTTTCCCTTTCCCACTTTCGTGGAATGGGCCTGAGGGGGAAAGGGACTTGACAGGCTTTGGGGGGGCAAGGGAGAAAGCACAGAAGCTGAAAAACAAGAGATACAAGGCTGAAACCTGGTCCCGAGGGGCATTACTCATCTTACCGGCTGAGCTTGCTCTCCATACTTTAAGGATCAGTGTGAGACAGAGTGAGATAACGTAAAGGGAAGCGCACCACACCCCTGAGTGAACAGACGGAAGGGAGCTATAAAGAGCTCAGACAGGGCCATGTTGTGGCCCTAGGGTGAGTGTGGCTTTTATTTCCTCTTGGAGAAGGAAGAGAAGGGGAGCTTTCCCAGGCTCCCCAACCTAAGGAAGGGGTGAGTGAGCCCGAAGATCATTCAGAAAGGCTTCCATTGTCCACTTGCTGGCACTTGGTTGCAGGGTAAGGACAAGAGAGACCCCTTGGGTAGCAGCTCTCACATTAGAGGCACGAGGAGGTCTGTGCTGGTGTTCAGAGGAGGGGCAGGAGCCCTGAGTGAGGCAAGGGCAGGTGGCCAGCCCCACACCCAACCCCTGCCCGGGATGCGAGTGTTCCTGAGGCTGGCTGTTGTTCCCGAGAAGGCCTGAGGAGCCTGGAAGGACCGCTCCATCCGATGGCTGGTCCCTTAAATGTCCATCTCAAACTGTGACTCTTCACCTAGGAGAGAAGGGACAGACTAAGCAAGCAATGGGCAGATGAGGGTGCTGAGGCCCTGCTCTTCCATTCTCCTTCCTCCAAGAGCACAGGGTGTGATAATGTGCCGGGGAGAAGCAGAAAGGCAGGACAGGCTAGGAGTTCCTGGACACAGGCCTGACCTTCCGTGTCAAGCTGTGCGCTTTCTCAATCCTAAATAAAATAGCAGAGACTAGGTATCCTCATAGGAATTTTCATTCATTCATTCATTTATTTTACCAGGGATTGAACTCAGAACCTTGTGCTTTCGAGGCAGGCGCAGTGCCAATGAGCTAAATCCTCGGCCCTATAATTTTTATTTTTAATAAGGGTGATAGCCAGGTGTGGTGGTGCTCTCCTGTAATCCCTGTATTTGAGAGGCTGAGGTGGGAGGATCGCCATGCCAACCTGAACTACATACATAGTGAGAGCCTGCCTCAAAACAAAATAAAACAAAACCCAGTGTGGTGGCCATGTCTGTAATCCCAGCAATCAGGAGGCTAAGGAAGAAGGAGCGGCCAGCCTGGGCTACATAGTGAGTTCAGGGCCAGCTTGAACTACAAAAGGAGACCCTGCCTCAAAAAACCAAAAAGCAAAACGGGTGAACAGCTATTTGTGGCCTTATAAAAAAGCAACTACATCAAAAAATGTCCCTTAGGGCCAGGGATTTAGCTCAGTGGTGCCGATGGCTGCCTCGCAAGCAACTAATGGCCCGAAACCATGCTGCCTTTCAGCATCTGCCAGGCTGCTCTATGCATGCGCCTGAACCCACCCTGCTTTCACCACTTCCTCTAGGCTGAGATGAGTCCACCACTGGCCCCCCTTGGTGCTGGGACTCTCAAGGTGCGGCTGAGTCCTGTCTCGCAGGTCCAGGAAGGTGGCTTCTGCTGCTGCATTTGTCAACAGAGCAGGCCCAGCCCAGCCCCAGGCGCTTGCTGTCTGGGCATGGGGCGCTGCTGTAGCAGGGAGCTCAGGGGCTCCTGCAAACCAGGCTCAAGGGCACAAACAGCACATTTACACACACTGTGGCCAGGGTGGCTGCTGCTGGCTTGGAATGTGGGGACACCAGGAAGGGCCTTGCTACCAAATGTCCAAGCTGCAGAGACAACTGGCAGCACTGTTTCTGTCTGCTTCACACAGGGTCCATCAAGGAGCCAACGCACGTCTGCCAGGAGGCTTCAGGATGTACTTCCTATTTTGTGGACATCTAACTCCTGAGTGGGCAAGCACACCTTGTCTTTAACAAGTTGTCTCCTGCACCACAAACATCACGGGTGTGTTCCTAGCACAGCTCGTGAATAATTTAGGGGCACTTAGCCAGAGCCTCTGGCACTTCATGTCTGTCTGTCTGTCTCTCTCTCTATCAATCTATCTACACTATCTCCCTATGTAGCCTAGGCTGACCTCAAATTCCCTATGTAGCTCCACCTGGGCTCAAACAGTCCATCCTCCTGCCCCAGCCTCCTGAATGCCAGGATTACACCCAGCTTGCCCCTGCCATTTTATTTGTAGTTATTTATTTATTTATTTTGGTACCGGGGATTGAACATGGGACCTTGCGCTTGTGAGGCAGGCGATGGAACCACTGAGCTAAATCCCCAGCCCACCCCTGCCATTTGAGATCAGCTCCTCACTAACTTATGTTACCTGACAGCACACAATCACCCTCCCTGTGGTTCATGGGCCCTTGAAGAAGGCAAGCTGGTACCACTGAGGGTTCCACCCTCCCACCCTACTACTGCTTTCTGGACTCTGAGGGTCGAAGTCACTAGTGTTCCCCCTCCCTCGAGCTAGTCCCCTTCCCGCTACTCACTGCCCGCTGGCTTGTCTTCCAGACTACTGCGAAGGTGGCTCTGGCTGGCTTCCATGGAGGGCTCATCACTGCTAGGGCTGGTGACTCCAGGGATGGTGGGCAGGTCCCTGGGGGGCGTTTTGGCCACAGGGGAGTTCCGACACTCCATCAGGAATTTCCGGTCATAGATGATCCTGGTCCCTGCAGGGGCACAGGGAGGTTGGTGAAGCTCCTGCTGCCGGTTTTCCCACCTCTTAGAGGGGTGGCTACAGCAGAGGTCATGGTACTTTTATAAAATCTGACCGAGGTTCACTCAGGGGTCTGCAACAGCGCAGGGCTCTGCTTATACCCCAAACTTGGGGTACCCCAAAGGGGCTTGCCAGTGCCAACTGAGCTGTTGTCTGCTCAGAGCTCTGCACCCCCATAGGGCTGGGTCCTGAGAGCCCCTTGCCGTGCCCACTGGCTCAGTGTTCAGGACCTAGGATGACTGCATCCCACAGGGAAAGTGATTTCCCATCAGTATTCATTGCTGTCCTAACAGTACTTCATGGTATGCCCAGAACAACTTTTCTTTCGTCAACTCGGAGGGCTGGCCAAAACCAGGAGGCACTGAGCTACATCCCCAGCCCTCTGTATTCTATGAGATAAGATCTTGCTAAGTTGCCCAGACTAGTCTCAAACTTGCAATCTTCCTGCTTCAGCCTCCTGAGCAGTTGGTATGACAGATATGCACTACCATTCCTGTCCAAAACAGGTATTCCTTTTCTGTGTGGTAAGGGGTACTGAAGATTGAATGAATGGCCTTTGCACTGAGATAGATCCCCAGATCCCCAGCCTTTCATTTTTTTATTTTGAGGCAGGGCCTCACCAAGTTGCTAAATTGCCCAGGCTAGGCTTGAACTTTTGATCTTACTGCATCAGCCTCTGGAGAGCTTGGATTACAGGCATGTGCCACCACTCCTGGCCAGAACAGGCATCTTTAATCCCATTTTACAAATTAGTGAACAGGCCAAGTATAGTAGCCAGCATTTGGTAAGGGTGAGACAGGAGGATCGTCATGAGCTCAAGACCAGCCCAGGCTACATAGTGAGTTCAGGGCGAGCCTGGACTACATTGAGACCCTGTCTCAAAACAACAGTAACAAAAACAGCGAACAGAAAACCAAGTGATTCATTCAAACTGGTAAAAATGAAACCTTTAGCTGACAGTGGTAGCTCAGCGTGAAGGCCTGGGTTCGATCTCCAGCACAGAAAAAAAAAGCCCTCACTCAAAGCCCTTCTCTTGTGTGTTCCCACCATGCTGCACCACATTAGAACCAGAGCCCGGGAAGTCCGTGCTCTTTTCCTGTTCTCTTCTCTCCTCCCACACGCAGTCATGCTGGGGTGAGGACAGGCCTCAGAATTCTTCACCGTCCTCCAACCACACCCAGGCCTCCCGGGGTAGCCACAGGAGAATAGCAGAGGGAGCTCACGGGTGAAGAGCGAGTCCTCAGGAGGCTCTGCTGCCACCTGCAGGGCAGAGGCTGCTTGTGCGGGGCACAGCCTGCAGTACCTGGTGGGTCTCGCGTGCAGGGCCTGTGGCAGGTAGCACATCCTGCTCCAAGTTAAAAATGTCCTCGTATTCCATTTTATAGTTGCCTGCTATGGTGGCAAGTGAATTTTGTTTTCCATACATAATACGTTATCAAGTTTCCTTTTAATGTATAGTAATTCCCAATTTAAGAGAGGTGTGATGGTGCATGCCTGTAATCCCAGTACTTTGGAGGCTGAGACAGGATGATTCTATGTGTGAGACTACCCTGGCAATTTAATGACTTAGTGCGACCTTATCTAAAAAAAAAGAAAAAGAGGCCGAGGGTATATATAGTTCAATGCAAAGGTCCTGAGCTCACTTCTCAGTGGGCGGGAGGGGGGGCACAGACAAAAACACCAAAGTAATATTCAATTTAATGTTATAATAGTTATGTAAGTTATGCTATATAATATATAATGAAAATTTTTTTTTTTTTGTACCAGGGATTGAATTCAGGTCCTTGTGCTTTTGAGGCAGGTGCTGGAACCACTGAGGTAAATCCCTGGCCCAATAAAATATAAATTAAAGAGTAAAGATGATATAAAGAGAAATACTAGGCTAGGAATAGTGGTGCATGTCTGTAATCTCAGCTACTCAGGGGGTCCAGGCCCAACCCAGGCAACTTAACCTATTTTAAAATTTTAAAAATTAAAATGTAAAATAAAAATAAAAGGGCTGGGCATGTAGTTCAGTGAGAAGGCACTAGGTCAATCCCCAGTATTGGGGAGTGGGGGAGATGGGGTATTAAAGCTAGGTGTAAGTAGAATTCAAAGTATGATAAGGGCTGGAGTTGTAGCTCAGTGATACAGCACTTGTCTAGTAGGCATGAGGCCCTTGGTTTGATCTCCAGCACCACAAAACAAAAACCAAAATATCAGCTGGACACGGTGGCACATGCCTGTAATCTCAGCACTAGGGAGGCTGAAGCAAGAGGATCTCCACAAGTTTGAGACCATGGCTGAGCTACATAGTGAGTTCAAGACCAGCCTGAACTATATAGCGAGACCCTGTCTCAGAAAATAGAAAAAAAATCATAAATATTATGCAGATAAGCTGGGTGTGGTAGTGCATGCAGGTAATCCTAGCACTCGGGCAGCTGAGGCAGGAGGATAGCTGTGAGTTTGAGGCCAGCTTGGGCTACATAACCAATTCAAAGCCAGCCAAAACTAGTGAAACCTTCTTTAAAAAAAACAAAAACAAAACCTATAAACAAGTGATTAGGCAGTGTGTGAAGTTGGAAAGCAGAGGCACATGTGGGTCCAGAGGGACAGAAGGTGCCCACCTGCCTGTGGGCATGGGACAGAGACTCCCGGCTCTCCACTTCCTGCTTCTAGCACCCCTGACCCATGGAAGCAGCTACTCACCCCAATCTTGCATGGCCTGAAGGGTGTGTGGAGGATGCATAACATTGCAGGGGACCCAGACCCTTGTACCCATGAGATGGGGTCATGATAATCACCCCAAAACTCAGAGCACCTGTGCTGCTGGGCCCCAGCCCCCTTAGATCTGGGGTTCAGTCCTGAACTACCTGTGAAGAACAACTGAGCCTATTTTTAAAAATTATTATTTGTTTGTTTTGAGACAAGGTCTTACTATGTACTATGTAGTCCACGCTGACTTCAAACTCTCAAGATCCCCCTGCCTCAGCCCCCGAGCTGGGACCACTATGTCCAGCCTGAACCCACTACAGTATTCCTCACTGAGTCTAACTTTCCCCTCTGCTAGTGCTACCAGCCCAGGGAAGTCAGTACTTTTGCTCACCGGGCGGCAGGAGGGCTGAGGCTGTGAAGGCAAGATGTGCCTGCCCATTGGGTTGGCATGTGGATCAGCACAGCGGCAGAGACAAGCCAGCTGTCTCCATGGGTTCGGGTGACATATTACACTCCTATACACCCCATCCACAGGAGAGTCAGTTACAGGGCTGGATAGTGTGGGAAAGAGGGGAGAGGAAGGGGGTGAAAAAATAAGATGCGTTAGGTTTTTGGGTTTGGGGGTTTTTTTTTGGAGACAGGACCTCGCTATGTAGTTCAGGCCAGCCTTGAACTTCTGGTGCTCCTCCTTCTTCAGCCTCCCAAGTGCTAGGATTATAGGCATGTGCCACCTCCCAGATGCACCACCTCCCACAATGAGTGTGATCATTATGTGCTGCATCATGGACCAAGAAAAATTAAAAAAAAAAAAAAAGAAATCCTGGAAACAACACACCCATTACCCCAGCACTCTGAGGATAAGGCAGGAGAATCACAAATTTGAGCCCAGCCTAGGCAACTCAGCAAGACCCTGCCTCAAAATAAAAAAAGGCCTGTGGATGTAGCTCAGTGTAAAGGCTCTGGGTGCAATACGCTAGTACCACACAAAGAAAAAGGAAAGAAAAATGCCAGGCATGGTCCGCACGTCTGTGATCCTAGCACTTGGGAGGCTGAGGCACGAGGAACATAAGTTCAAGGCCCGCCTGGGCTACACAGCAAAACCCCGTCTCAAAAAAAGCACCCCAAAACCCAAAACCCTGGCAACAGACTTCAGGAGGGAGTGTGAGCCCACCTCCATCCTTTTTAGCCTTGCAAAATCCAAGAACCACCAGGACCTTGAACTTGGGCCATGTTTTACAGCCAGTGTCCTTTGGGACTTCAAACTTAGATGTACATCAAACATAGGGAGAGTATTTTTCTCAAGGGGTGCTTTGTGCTGATGACAGTTTGCTTGTTTGTATAAAGCAACACGCATATTCACTACAGCGGTGATGGAAGACCTACATTTCCAAGCAGGTGGCTTGTAATACTGAAAGCTCTACAAGGTTCGCCACCACTGCCCAAGGGTCTAGTTTACTCACCGATGAAACAAGAGTCTTGTACTAGAATCCTCCTGGCTATTTTTAAAGCAGCAGCCATGCCCCTTGTATTTTTAGGATCTTGTTGGCAGGTGCTTAATGCATAAATAACAGGAGCCTCGGAGGCAGAAGTTCTGGGCTCAAACTAGGGTCACCACAGACTAGTCCCTCAACTCCAAGTCACAGTTTCATTCTCCACTACAAGAGGAAGAGTGGAATCCATGCTGATTGTGGTGGCACACACCTGTGATCCCAGGACTTGGGAGGCTGAGGCAGGAGGATCTCTGCAAGTTCAAGGCCAGCCTGAACTACATAGTGAGACTCTGCCTCAAAAAACAAAACACTGCCTTGCAAGCGAAAGGTCCGAGTTCGATCCCCGGTACCAAACAAAACAAAACAAAACCCCAAAAGAATGAAATCCCCAAGCTGGGTTCAGTGGGACATGCCTGTAATCCTAGTGCTCCCGGAAGCTGAGGCAAGAAGACCACCAAGTTCAAGCCCAGTGCAGACAGCTTTGTCTCAAAATAAAACAATTTTTAAAAAGGGCTAGGGATGTACCATATCTCAGTGTGAAAGCTCTGGAAGGACCACAGCAGGAGAGCAAAGGGGAGAAAAAGGGACGTGAGGGAAGGTGAGAGGCGAGCAGGGGAGGGGAGGGATGCATACCTCAAAGGAATATTATGAAGGTTAAATAACAAATGTCAAGATTCTTTTGAAGGGTAGGAGTATAGCTCACTAGTAGGGCACTTACTAGCATGCACAAGGCCCTGGGTTTGATCCCCAGCACCACACATACACAAAA